AAAGTATCGTTTCAGCGGGGACAGCAGTCCGGATTTCCAAAAAGCGGCGCTTTTTTGCGTCTGAGCAAAGAAGAGAGAGAGGGGGAAAAAGAGAGAGAGATTGATTTGTGGCTGCGCAAAGGGGGGAGGAGCCCAGGAGTAAAAGTAGGAAGGACGAAGGGAGGGGAAAGGAAAGTTAATAGAAGGAAAGGCGGGTGGGAGAGAAAGAGAAAGAAAGAGGGAAGGAAGGAAGGGGGGAAGAGAAGTGGAAAGGAGGGAGACCGAGGCGGGGGAGAAGCGTCTGGAGAGTTGCTCCGAAGTTTGGGGGGCCGCGGGGGTGGGCGCGCGTCCCAGGAGGCGGAGGCCAGCCCGGGCTGGGAGCCGCGCCGCGGCCTGGGGGCGGTAGGCGGACCGCGGCTCCTAGGATGTGGAAAGGGGACGGCGGCGCAGGGGGAGGAGACCCGCATGGCTAGGGCAGCGCGCAGGGGGAGGGGAGCGGGCCGGAGGCGGGCGAGGGGGGCCGCGATCCCGCGCGCCGCGAACATGGCCTCCTTCCCCGCGGGCCCCGCCGAGCCCCCCGGCCGGGGAGGGCAGCGCGCCCCCGCCGCCGGAGGAGAGCAGAGGCAGGAGGAGGAGGACGAAGGCGCTGCCGAGGAGGCGCGCCAACTTCTGCCAACTTCGGCGCCCGCCCTGTCGCCGCAGGCTCCTCCCGGCCGAGAGCCAGAGGACGGCGGCGGAGCAGGAGGAGGAGGATCGGGTTTGGCGACGGCTGCTGCGTCCTCTCCAAGCGCGGGGCTGGCCTCCGCCGCGCCCGATCCTCCGCGCTCGCCCGCTTCTCGGCGGAGCAGGTCTCGTGCGGGTGCGAGGCGCTGCTGCAGGCGGGCGACCCCGGCCGGCTGGGCCGCTTCCTGGGCTCGCTGCCGCCCGACGCCGAGACGCCGTGCGACTCGCCCGCCTCCCTCCCACGGCACACCAGGCAACGTCTCGCGGCACAGTAGTGTGCCGCGGAACACCGGTTGGGAAACACTGGTTTAGACCACAGCTCCACCCGTGTCCCTTCCAGCAGAATAGAAGTAATTTGAGATGAACACAGGAAGGGATGGAAATCGCTGCCTCCTAACATCTGTTCTGGTAGGCATGAACTGACAGGGTGCCAACCCATTCTGCCCCCTGCCAATAGAAAGCCCATGTCACTCTTTCCTTCACCAAGTACTTGCTCTCACTTAGATTGCCTTTAATAGGGCTGCCATATGTCCAGACATTACCCAGTAAGGGGGGGGGGAGCTGAAAAACTTTGGGGCTTGTCTAAAAAAAGCAATTTTGGTGGCTTCCTAAAAGAAAGCTCAAATAAAGCTCCTGGTTTTTACTTTTTGAAATGTGGCAACCCCGTGAGTTGCCCGCTGGAATAGACAGCCCTCTCCAAGGAACTATTGTCTTGATTTATTTGGTCACAGGATAATTAAAAGACTGCTTTTCCATAAGATCGACCAAGACCCTCTGGTTTCCTCCCCCCCCCCCTTTGAGGCTTTTTGCCACCCAACACTCTTCTTGGTTCTGTGCAAACCCTTTCGAGAAGTTTTGACGTGTAGATTTACTCCCGAGTAAGCTTCAACAAGATTCCACCTGGAATGCTGAAAATTGCACATTATAGAAAATATGGTTTTATGAAGGCCTAGACTCTTCCAGACCCTCCAAGTGTCCCTATTTTCCAGGGATGTCCCTGATTTAGAGAAGAAAACCCGGTTTCTGATTTGATCCCAGAATGTCCCACTTTTCCTTAAAAGGTAAAAGTAAAGGAACCCCTGACCATTAGGTCCAGCCGCGACCGACTCTGGGGTTGCGGCGCTCATCTCGCTTTATTGGCCGAGGGAGCTGGCGTACAGCTTCCGGATCATGTGGCCAGCATGACTAAGCCGCTTCTGGCGAACTAGAGCAGCGCACAGAAATGCCGTTTACCTTCCTGCCGGAGCGGTACCTGTTTATCTACTTGCACTATGACGTGCTTTTGAACTGCTAGGTTGGCAGGAGCAGGGACCGAGAAACGGGAGCTCACCACGTCGTGGGAATTCGAACAACCGAGCTTCTGATTGGCAAGCCCTAGGCTCTGTGGTTTAACCCACAGCGCCACCCGCGTCCCTCACTTTTCCTTAGGACGCCCCTATTTTCATTGGAGAAATCTTGGAGGGTATGGACTTATCTGACCCCTGAGCCGTCTGAAGGCAAGCCTGTATAGGGAAGATATTTTCATTTTTGATGTTTTATTATGTATTTATATATGTTGGAAGCTGCCCAGAGTGGCTGGGGCAACCCAGTCGGATGTGCGGGGCATAAATAGTAAAATTATCATTATGGAATGGGACGTCCCTATTTTCATCGAAGAAATGTTGGAGGGTATGAGTGTCCCTATTTTACAGGGACAGTCCCTGATTTACAGAAGCCATCCCGCTTTCTGATTTGATCCCAGAATGTCCCACTTTTCCTTAGGACATCCCTATTTTCATTGGCAAAATGTTGAAGGGGATGGACTATATTGCAGTTCCGTAGTGTGTGACTGGCAGCTCCTAGCCATTCAGGAATCCTGAGGGCCTAGCAATTAGGATTGCCCCCTTCCCCCACTGAAAAACGTCCATTATTCTTTTTAATGAAATAGAATCCTGCATTTGTTTCAACAATATTTTTAAAGTGGAGTGTGTGGCTTATTCACTGGAACCTTGTTTTCAATCTATAATGGAAAACAAGCAACCAGCAAAAGGTTTATAAAAGAAAACAGAACTACATCCAAATTTTCCCCTCTAAGATTCAGATATAAATACTCAAGAGAACTTGATAGTAACAAGAACGATCACATGGCAACTCAGTTCACTGGCTTTCCCAACCTTCTGTTAAGTGTTTGTTTTCCAACATGGATCGAAGTGATAAGAAAATGACTCAGTGGACAAAATGAGAGGCGGGCGAGATGCAAAAATCATTTGTTTGTGCCATCGCAGGAGAAAAAATGTTGCTTCGGCTTAAACTCCTTTTCCACACTGGCTGCAAAGATTTCCATTATGGTTTCCAGTAAATGAGAAAATCCATGAAAGAGAAATGTAAGCTCTGACCTTTTTAGGCAGGTGGGTGACGTAATTTGGTTTCTGCTCGTGGGCGCACTATGCAATCCACGTAAAGGCACATAAGTTCAGAAGGTCTGCTCTGAGGTTAAGGCACTGGGAATAAAGAACAAAAACAAAGGCAGCAAGCAGTCCCCATAAATTTCAGCTGTACAATTACGGAATGACTTGTTCTAGAGTTTTATCAGAAAAAAGCATTGGCCTCGTATGTTGCCTTGGTCTTGGCTGTGCTGCTATATACGGTATATATATTTGTTTAGAGTGAAAAGAGTCTGGTCTATATTCCTCTCACAACTGACACTAAGTTAATAGTCTTTGTTATCCAAAATGTTGGTTTCATTCACAAGTGTCTGGCAGGAAACGGCACTTTTAAAAATTACGTTCTTTTCGCAATATACTGAGGTTTCAATTTATAACATTTTGAGTCACGCAATCAACAAAACTAGCTGGTTATTCAAATATTTTTTCTCCTTCAATGGATGACACAACCTTTCTTAAAAGCGTAAATGAGTAAGTCTTCAAGATAATTGAAGGACAGGCTTTATGTTTTATCGTAATTCCAACTTGGAAAAGAAAACTATGTTCTAATAAGGAAAAAAATAGCTCCTTTGCCTCCCATGTTTATTTCGTATATATCTTCTGTGCCTCTGTGAGCTATAACTCTACACAAACAATGGTCTGTGACTTATTATGAAATAACTTCCATGATTCATCGGGGTGGCGGCATGAAAGCACATTGCTAAGAGCCCTAGATTAAACATTTTAAATGCAGAGCCGCAATGTGGAAGCAAGCTGTGTCGAAATCAGCGCGACTTATGAGTGACTCTAAATGCAACATGTGGCTAGCTGAAAGTGATCTCAGTGCCATCTAAACTGATGTTGCCTGGGCTGTACTTGAATGCCCAGCCCCCCAAAAGCTCTAACAATTATCTTTTTGGTGTTTTGTCCTGGTGTTTTTTTTTAACTTTTTGAAATATGGCAACCCTAATACAACCTTCTCCTTCAAACAGGAAGCTTCTGTTTAGGGAAGCTTTTAATATCTAAGGACTATTGAATTTTAATATTTTGTTGGAAGCTGCCCAGAGTGGCTGGAGAAACCCAACCAGATGGGCGGGAAATAAATAAATAATTAAATCATCATCGTTGTTGTTATTATTAATTATCATCATCATCATCATCATCATCATTATTCTGTAATGGCAGCCAATCACAGAAGTGACTCTGCCATTCACACGAGGCTCCCGGTGACTAGTTAGGAGCGTGTTTTGATGTGCCTAAGGAGTTTCTGCACAAATGGTTCCTCGTTGGCTTGACATGAATGAAGACACCCTTGTGGGCTTCAGAAGTATTAGACGAAAGTACTGTACAGTGGTACCTCGGGTTAAGTACTTAATTCGTTCTGGAGGTCCGTTCTTAACCTGAAACTGTGCTTAACCTGAAGCACCACTTTAGCTAATGGGGCCTCCTGCTGCTGCCGCGCCGCCGAAGCACGATTTCTGTTCTCATCCTGAAGCAAAGTTCTTAACCTGAGGTACTATTTCTGGGTTAGTGGAGTCTGTAACCTGAAGCGTATGTAACCTGAAGCATATGTAACCCGAGGTACCACTGTAATGATTTTAAAAAAAAAAGTAATAGAAAAAACTGTTGGGAATGTAAAGGGATGCTGCTGTGGTCTTTAACCAAACAGTGCTAAGATGTGCTTAATTATAACTCCCTTTTGGGTCCAGAAAGAGTTCAACACAACTCACTAAGGGGAAGATGGTGCCACTCGCTATTCCAACACATTATGGAGTGTTCAAATCCGCTATTAACATTCAAGCAAAACGTATGATTTGATAACCCTCTTTCAGTAAGGTAAAGCTCAAAATGATTCAGAACAGTTTGTTGTTTAGGGAAACACACACACAAACCACATTTTATTAATAATTGTTATACCTTTATTAAGCAGTGAAGATCCAAGGTAACATGGCATGGGCATTATCAAAACTGTACAACTTATCAGTTATAGATTTTATTTATTTATTTATTTGGAGATACACACAAACTACAGAAACAAAGACAATGGGGTGCTCATACTGGCCACAGGGATTTAGCAGGTATATTTCTCCCGCTCAGTTAAAAAAAGTTATATCCTTGTATATATATATATAAAAAAGGTAAAGCGTATTGTGTTTTGGAAATGGCAGAGTCCGGATAGAGATTCAGTTGCTTCATGAACACCCCAGGACAGATGAACAAAACAGGACAAGAGTTGCCTCATTAAACAAATCTACACTTATTCTCACACAGTGTGCAAACCGAGACAGGCGGCTGCTGTGGCTCCTCCATTCATTCCAATGGGCCTTGTAGAAGAGCATGACATAATTCCCATTGGAATGCATGGTGGATGCCAAGCTGCCATACCTGTTGGATTGCACTTACAATCAGCAGTAGGGTCTTCTTTTGAAGCATGAGGTAGATGCACATAGAAAAGACAAGAACACATCATCATAAACATTTTTTGGGGGGGTGGGGGGTGGGAATCAACATACAATCCTCTTTCAAAGTAATACACAGAACTCTGGACTCGGCTACATTCGTCACAATAATACGTTTTGAAAGTGTTATAAACATCCAACACCAGATGGTGCCAGAGAGCAAAAAATTAGTTTATATGGATTTTTACATGGGCTTTTCTTCTTCTCTTGTAAAAAATTTTTTTTTACCTATAGCATTTTAAACCTGTGTCTAGATCCACCCTACACAATGCGTGACATGTTGGCTTTACATGACCTTAAAGTAATAGCTGTTCAATGCAAAGATGTCTGGAAAGTCAAACGTGAGTGATTAGATACTGTATGGGAAAACAAGCAAAATAATCTGGGGTGTATGCAGGTTCTGGGAGGAGAAACAGCTTTACAAGTGAGAAGTCATTTCCCAATTTTAGTAGCTTAAGTTATATGATGGGACTGGCAAGCATTGTGCAAAGGCAAGTTGATGATAAGGCAAGCAAACAAGGAATATGAGGAGCTAATTGCTATAGCATAAAAAATCCAATATCTTGATCTGTTAATGTATCTGAAACAGGAAATGAGCTATGTATGTCATAGGGTATGTAAGGAGGAGGAGACGAAAAACAGGAGGAATTCTTTCTATCTGTGTCGGTCGTGAAAGTGTTGTGAGGGACATGCCTTGCTTTTTATTGAGGGTGCCTGAAAAGCAATGGCAAATGGTGGCAACAAAAGCTGATGTCTTAAAGCTATCTGACAAATTCCAAATTAACAAGTTGGCTGGGCATTCACCTGATAGTCTGTGAAGAATTCAAATGTGAAATGTCTGAACTTTCAACAAAAATATGCAGCCTATTAAAACCAGCCTTCAAAACTGGAAGGTAGCCGACGCAAGAGCAATTTAAAAAAGGAAACAGGGAGGGAGAAACCAGGAAATGGGAGACCTGTCTCCCTAGACAAGTAAACCGTTAGAAGATGATATTAACATTGAGTTTGTTGGATATACTGAAGAACAAGCTTTGTCAAAGAAGACACAGTATGGCTTCTGCAAAGGAACGTCCAGCCTCACTAACCTCATAATTACTTTGAATGCTAAACCCTGTAGTTAGAGGTGACCCAGAAGCTATGATATGCTTGAACTTCCAAAATCATTCTGAAATGTGAAACTCAAAATGGAAGAAATTTCCTTTCAGACACACTGAACACACTGAGGTGCAGGCTGGCCACTTGCACAGTTTAATACAGGCACCCCTAAACTTGGCCCTCCAGCTGTTTTGGGACATCATCCCTAGCTAACAGGACCAGTGGTCAGGGATGATGGGAACTGTAGTCCCAAAACAGCTGGAGGGCCGAGTTTGGGGGTGCCTGATTTAACACTTTGTCAGTGAGACAATGCAAAGTTCTCAAAAACACTACTATACAACATGAAATGAAATAGCACACAACATCAAACATGAAAAGAAGCTTGCATGAAAAAATAATAAAGGACTTCAAAACGTAGAGCTTACATTTGTAGCATAAAAATAGACTTCAATGGCACTGGAAGAAACCATTGTTCTCTCTTATGGCAAAGGTATCTGTTCATAAATTCCCTTTCTCAGTACATGCCTGGTTTATTACAAAAGCATAATTCAGCCCTCCACTGTTGCTAATATAAGGACTTGACAGCTCACCCTGGAAAACAACAGCAATACTTTGGACCAAATGGCTTTGTGGTTTACACCTTTTACCAGTGATGAGCACAGAGCTGCAATGCAGGTATGGAATTCTCTCATTCACAAGAACTTCCTTTTAATTGCCAGGAATGAATCCAAACCACACATGAAATGCACACATGCCTTTTGCTCCTCCAGTCTAATGGAGCAGCCCATGGGAACCAGAGATGTGCTTATGCATCCTAGTGCATGCATATCTCTGGATGCGTAGACAGCATAAATTTTTTAGGGATATCATTTGCATCTGCCATTTGCTCTACTGTCAATTAACCAACAGGAATTTTCCATTAGCTCCATAACTTTCCTTTTAAGTAAGTATATTTAAAAAAGATCAGTATATAATAAAGTGAGCATTCTGAAGCATTCACAATTAAGTGCATCACGGTCAATGAATTAATTATAATCTTGAACATAAGCCTAGAAAAATGTCATTTCTCTGCTTGTAAATATTGCCTGTTTTGGTTTTGTATGTCTGTAAATATAGATCCAGGTTTTCAGAGTCAATTTTGATAGAAATATTGATAATGCAGCATCTCTTTCTCTCAAAAATATACATTTAATTATTTTACACAAAAATGTAACCTTTCATTCCAACAACCAAGTTTATAATACTTCCAATAATATCTCTGGTTTTAATAAAATCTTGGGGGGGGGGAAGGGTTAGAAGAGGGCAGAGAAATAGCGTATAAAACCGTAGAATTCACAGTAACTGAAATTAAACATCTTATATAAAGCCACTTATATTTAAATATATATATATTTATATTTATGCCCACATTTAATGTAGTAAAATATAGCTATGATGGATTTAAAAGACTCTAGTCTTCTTTGAAGACATTTTAAAGGTTTTCATACATAGAATATGATTATCTAATACATTCAGCTGAAGGTTAGGCAAAGCGCATTCTTTTTAAATACACAGGTAGCATATTGCTTATCCAGATACCTCCCACTAATCCAACCCCGCAAACACTTTTGAGAATGTGAATTATGTAAGTTCAAATTTATTTATTTTTGATATATTCCGAATAGGCCAGGAGCCTTTTTTATCTGTCGGTTCACCAGCCCCTGTGAAGTTTTGTCACCTTTGCCAGTGTAAAACCCAATAGGCTAAAAGGGTGGTTCGGGTTAAGGGCAACAGAGGAACTGGCCCTGTGTTATATATGGGCAGGGCTTTCCCCCCAGCTGAAACGTGCCACAATGGCGTTCCGCCACCTCTCAGATGGGCCCTGGTCCCCTGGAAGCGAGGGGAGAGATCAGACCTGCTTCAGAAAAGCCCCGCTGTGCTTCCTGCTACAGCAAGGCCAAACAAAACAAAAAAGCCATATCCATTGAAGGTTATATTAACTGTTTGCAAAGGGAGAATATCTCTTATTTTGTTTTCAAGGAGGAGGATCCAGGAGACTCTGTTTCAGCTCACAAAATGACAACTCAATATTCCTACAGTTTCAAATTGCAACCTTTGGTTTTCATTTGGGAGGTACTTTAAGGCTAGCGGGAGGCAAGATTTATAAAAATATTATGAAAATTAGTACCGGCTTGCTCTTTTTTGCATTCCAAATGCTACTTTGGGAGATATCCAATTGCAACGTTGCGATGACTAACAAGCAACTGGATACAAACCATAAAGGGGCTTTTAAGGAACCCTTCCATTCCTATTCATGGTGAGTCATACAGAACAATTAGCTCGATAGTTTTCTCCTCTCGACGCTTTAAAAAAAAAATCACCACAAAATTTTGGAAAACTTAGAAGAAGCAAAGAATGAAGTTCTGACCTAAGAATTTTCGATAAACAGTAAGCTAATTGTAGATTATATACAGCAAAAAAGACAACGATATCTATGTATATTTTGTGGACCGGGCCCAAAACACAGAGCTGTAGTTGTCTCCACATCACAACTAGAAACACTTGCACTCATTAGCAGGTCTAAAAAATGTGCTTCTAGATCACTGTGAATCAAAAAAAAACCCCAAAGGCTTAGTCCTACAACAAATAGGACTATATTTATCTATATTTTCCTGAATTTTGGCAATGACCACATTTGCAGAAGTATATTCAGGGGCCAAAGGTTCAAAACTGGTCCATAACCAACCCCACCTTGGAGCACACAAGTGCTCACCATTCACATGTGGTTTTAATATCACTTGCAATAACCCCAAGTTACAGCCCCATGGGTTTTTCAGTATGGACACAGCACTTGGGGCATATACAGGTACCCCTCATTCACCATAATTTCAGGGAAGGTTATGCACACACAATGGAAATCCTCATAGGAAGCAGTGCCTGGCGCTGCAGTGAAAAGAAAAGCTGTTGTACGTGCAGAAGCTGCATGTGCGCATTGGCGCCATGTGGCTTTGCATGCAAATTGTATGCAAATTGCTGGCCTACTTGTAGCAGGCGGCAGACACTGTACTGTAAAAGACTTTGGGCTAAGTCCTGTGCAAAGGTTGGTGGCTCCAATTAATAAAAAAATAAATTAAGAAACTGAAATGGCACTAAGTGTTGCATTATGCTTCCAAGCAGGCTTTGGGATGGATAAACAGACGTGTACGGAAGTCATCAGGAATATCAAATCAACACATGTCCCACACGCCATGTTATGTATGGAAACATTAGTTTCTGTTTGCTAAAGGTTGGCAAAGGCAAATCCCTGATGTGGTGGACAAGATAATGGTGGGCCAAACACAGCACTGAGTTAAGCTCAAAAACCACAGAAACGATCAAGATGTATATATTGCGATAATGGCAACGGGTAATCCTCTGCGCTGGAAGCTTTCTCTTTCTGGTGAGGTGGAATCCCCGGATCAAACGAGAAAGAAAACAAAACCTTTCCCCCCAGCTTATGAGACTGAAATCCCTTTACACCCCTCGTGTCTCCTTGACGTCTGCGGAACCTAGTGCTTATGATTCTGTAAAGACAATGCAGCGTTTATGGTGGGGGAACCGGCTAGTGTCTCACGTCGAGAGCCTGCGGATGTTTTCTGCGCAACCCACAGCTGCCTGCAAATAGTAGCTTTGTCGTGTGTGAGCCTAGAGCATGCTGCAAGAAGTTCGAGGACCACGAAGGAAATCCTTCCTTGTTCTGCCAAAGAACCCAAACCAATCCTTTTGAAGCGAATGGCAACAAACAGCTCCTTTTGAACCTCTGCTCCCCTACGTGGTTCCGGGGGCTTGCATCATGTCCCCTGGGTTAGGCTGCGCTGCTGCTGGAACAGGGGGTGCTTTGTGTGCTGCCGATACTATGGGCTGCGCTGCTGTTTTCAGAGGCCGGCGGGGATGTGGGGACCGGCTGTCTTGCTGCCGGTTCTCCTGGAGGAAACAAACAGGAGGGGAGGGAGAGTTTGGTATTACAAGGAACATCTCCACAATCTTCTTGCCATCACAGTTGGGCTATATGACCCTCAAGGTTCTTTCCAATTCTACAATTCTAATTTATGTATGTGCATATCATTCATATCCTGTTATTGGTTTACGGAGCTCAAAGATAGCCTCCATTTTGTGCTCGCAACAGCCCTGTGTTAAGAATATAGGACTGCCCCAAAGCTCAACAATGCAAACGCAAGTCTCCCTGGTACAGACTTTTCTAGGTTCTGTTTGCTGCAGTATATCGCAGTGACCATTTCGCCCATATTGAGTAAAATGAAAAACTGTGACTTATTTCCACAAGAGGCCTCCGGAAGGGATGGGATAGCAAGGAGTAGAAATAGGGAAAAATCTCAGGGGTCCGACTGGAGACATGAGAAGGGCCTCATCTTTCTCATGAAACACTTATTTGAGGGACTAGATTAGGAATGATCTTGTGGGAGGTGGATATGCCAAAACACTTATTTAAATGTGTTAGTTTTATTGATGTGAATCCATAAAAACACCTACATTTCCTGCAATGCAGATTAGAATTTAGTCTGATCCTTTTTTGTAGCATAATGTACTGCTGTGCCTTTTAGCAGAAAGCCCTCTAAGAAATTACTGGGTTCATGCCACATATTGGGATTTTTCTCAAGTTCCTCACTTGAATGGGTCACTTTATCCTGTATGTACTTTATCTAACTGTACGTCCTTCCCCTTACATTGCAAAAGCCATCTCTGTAAAAGCCATGTTTAAGGAAGCTGGGGTGGGGAGCTTCCCTGCACTAAAAATTAGGAACATTGAGTGCCGACTGGCGGGGGGAGGGGGAGCCACCCTATTTCCATATTAAACACAGAAAATACAGTTGCTTCCATTCCCTTATTAGGGCCCCTGCAAGCCTATGCCAGGAAAGTGCTCTGCAAACTGCAAAACTGGCCTATATTCCCAGCTGCTGGGTCCTATTACAGTTTTGCTGTCACCCATTCCACTATTACACAGAGCTGTGCAGCAACCACAGCGCTCCAGATATGATCTGTATACATTTTGTTTTAACTTTGTGCAGAATGAATACCTTTTCGTCTTCAGGGGAAAAGGCATGCACAGCTGTCAAAGTCTGAATGCCAAAAATATATCGTCTCGTTTTTTTTCTTCCCCCTCCCTCCCTTTCGCCTCTTCCTTTCCCCCTTTCTCCGGACAGCTTTCCACAGATGCATTTTCCCCTTTCAAGTATGGGGTTATGCCCTCTTGTCTCGGTGGCACCATTCTCTGCTGGAGATTAAATCGTTTCTCCATCCTCCTCCTCCTCCTCTTCCAAAGGGGGGTGGGGAAGAGAACTCAGTTTTTCTCTGCTTGTGGAACGAACATTATTTGCCACAGCCTCCAACTGCAGCACCTCGGCCTCCATCCATTCAGAGCAGTACACGGAATGAGCCTAGCAGCCCTAAATCTACACTGGCTAGTGAGATGCCCACCAACTGGTGGGAAATGTGGCTGGGAAAATTGGTCGAATTTGAATGAGTGGGTTTGACAATCCCTTTCCCCCTATTTCCCTATTCAGCTTTGCCTTCCTCTCTCTCCTTTGCCACATGCCTCATTCCCTGGTTGCCATTGGGAGCTTGGGATTTTCAAACATACAAGAGGGATCAAGAGCTGATAGGTCTGCTGGCGGTTGCTGTAACAACAGCCCTAAACCAATTCTGAAGGTGGATGGCATTTGAGAGAATCTCCTGGGGGAAAGTTGCAGGTGCCCCTCTTTATTAGCTTCCAGTTCTTTTCAGCTTTCTGACAATACTTCTTTTGCCACTCCACCAATTTTTTTTGCCACTCTGTTTAAGAGGAGGAATTGGATAGACTGGTAGACACCTGGGGCATGGTTATAATTATTTTTCTCCCCTTTCTTTTAAATTACAGCTTCTCAATGAATGTTCGCTACACATTTTAGTCTCCTTCTGTCACCTCTGTTCATTCAAACAGATCCTCAGTTTTCAGAGTACAAAGCAAGCCCTCCCTTGCCATGCTTGGCTCAACATGACCTGCTTTGATTTAATACCCTTTCCCGCTGCTAAACTTAGATTTTTATTACAGTTTTATAAAACAGTTAAACATCCAAAATATACAAATCACGCAAGGCACACAACTAAAATAAAACCCAATTGCAAGTCTTTCCTCCCTGCTGCTCACACTTAAAATAAAAACAATACAGAAAAGTCAAATAGAAACCCATTCCTCCTACAGATTCAGTTCAAACATAAATAGTTTCATTCTTATTTAGCCTTGTCCAAACCAAAAACATAGTTACGGGCCACCAGTAGTGTAGCATGGGGGAGAAGGGGTGGGGGGTTTGGCCTGAGTGCAAAATTTGTTAGGGGTACAAAATTCCTGCACTTGGTGCTGCCTCAATACACACTTCCATCACTGGGCTCCGTTGAAAATGGCTTCTCCGTGTAAACCAGGAAGTGACCTCTCCAGACAACAGAATGACTCTTGTTTTCTTATCTCTGTGGCTGTGATCTCTTGGGTAACATGGATGCCTTAGGCAGCTGAAGGCACATGTGTACTCCATACATTTCCCTCCTCCGTGTGGGCCTGGGTACTGGCAACCCAGGCTATGCCACTGCTCCTCAGCTTTTTTTAGCCTCTGCTGGGCTGGTGTTTGTTGTGGCAGTTTATTTATGATTGGAAGATGCCAGACTTTAAGGATCCAATCTGACTCAACACGCTTCCATTTGGCTGCTACCAGCAGGTGACCCACAGTCAATGTATTATGTTATTATGTGATCTGCGTGTGTGTTTGTGTGTGTGAGAGAGAATTTTCATGCTCACCTGTGTGAGAATAGATAAACCACAGTGCTCCTGTCAGCAGCGCACCAATAACGAAGGCTGCAAAGGCAATGCCCACGACTGTCAAAGTGTCCAGGCCATGGAAGACAGCTGTGAAAATGGAGAAAACAAATTAATTAAATCAAGAAGTACTTCTACTTAGAATGCTTTTTTTAAAAAAGGAATTAGAGAGCGAGCGAGAGAGAGCGCATTCTAAACAAAAAGTGTGAGTGTGCTTCCCTATGCATTTTGATTATCAGTGCTCAGCAGTTAGTAGCCCATGAGCCCATCAACTGCGAACTCAAATTCATTCTCCTCCTCCTTCCTTTGCTAAAAACAGACCCTGTGCCTCCTTTCATGGCCACCTGCCTTTGGTCTCTCCCTGTGTATGGTAAATAGCAATTATTCTTTTTCTTAACTGTATAGTGGCATACAAATATTTTTTATAAATAAACAGAGTCAAGGCTTATTTTCAGCCACTCCTCTCTGGAACTCAGTTCCGGCACTTCTCAGGTGGGTTCCGTGGCCATTTGAAGAGAACAAGGGAGGTGTTCGTGGTGAGTTCTGGCATCTTTTTTTCTAGAAAAATAGCACCAAATACAGTAATGCAGGGGAAACTGCTGGTAGGCAACTCTGAGAGCAGATAGGATTTGTCTGCCAACCCCTACTGCCTGCTGAAACGAGCCACTGTATTGCACTTCAAGAGTGCACCAATATTTCTGGATCCAATGCCAACTTGAAGGGAAGACTAACCTCCGGAACTCAGCACATCTGGCAGCGTGACAACGGTGCATGAGCCATGGGAACAAAGCGTGGAAGTTAGATGCGGCCGAAAATGTGGCCCTGAGCCACCTAAAGCCAGCTCAAGTTGTAGGCCCACTACATTTCCTGCTAGCTGCCGCTTGTTTTCAGTTTGTAGGACTAAAATAACTTATTTTCTAATGTTAGCAGACTTATTTTTAAATTCTCATATCCTTCAAGTATGTGCCTTTGGGATAGGGAGGGATTTAAAAATAAAAATAATTAAACCAGTGCCCTGCCAATTTTGCTCCCCAGCATCTTCAGTCTATTAGGTGGGGAGCGGAAAGGCTGTTAAGCTGGGAGGCGGTGCCAGCTTGAAAGTCAGCAAATGCATAAATAGAAACAATTGGTTTTCCCCCACTTTTGGCAGATGTTTTAATCATGGAAATCAGTTCCAGCCCATAATATTGAGCTTTCCCAACAGGAGAGGCAGGGCAGTTTGTACGAGAGTGCATCTGGTCCCTGAATGCATCGCTCTGAACACATGCTGGAAAACGACAGCAACTTCCACTCATCCTGATCTTTTACTTCTTTCATACAGACACATGTACATGATGCAATCCTAATTAATTTCTTTTAAGACTCAGTTTTATTATGTATTATTTCTAGGGACTAAGGGCTCAGTGACAAAATACGTTAACTACTGCATCTGGAGCTAATCAAGAAACCAGAAGCCTTATTATATATTTTACGTTTGCAACTAGCTTCCCTGAATGGCCACTCTAACGTACGAGTTCCTGTGCCACCAAAGATGCCAGACAGACAATTCTGTGCCCTCAAATGCCATAAATGTCCACATCTATACTGATGTGTGTGCGCATGCACACCTGATCATAAAGCAGCACCTCTCAGAGCAGGGATGGGGAACCTGTGGCCTTCCAGATGTTGTTGGACTACAACTCCCATCATCCCTGACTGTTTCCCATGGTGGCTGTAGTTGATGGAAGTGGAAGTTCAATGACAGGTTCCATGCCCTTGTCTTGGAGAACTGGATTCAGGCCAGTTGCTGAATCCTGTTATATAAGCTCCTTTTTGCACTACTCTTGATTGTATTTGCTTGGTGCCTGCATTTATATCTCATTTATTTCCCAAGGAATCCAGAGTAGCTTGTAAGGGCCCATCTACATGTTACATATGCATAACTGAACCTCAATATCCAGCCCTCTCTTCTTTCATGTATCTCTAGGAAAAGCCACTTTGGAGTAAAAAATTAAAAATTCTTTCTCTCTTTCTCTCTCTCTCTTTTTGAGTGAATTCCCGGGAGGGAAGAAGTTCTGTATCCTTGTAATAAGTAGTTAGGCCCTTAGTTTCAGAACACCTCTGTGTGATCCAGTGCCACAAAGTGAAGCTCATGGTTGAATGGAGATTTGAACCCGATTCCTCTGTTTCCAAACCTAACACTCTTGCTACCTCTCCAGAATGGCTTTCTGCAGAAGTACCATATTCCATAAAAACTACTTGCTCTGCCTCTGCTGTGAATAGTTTCAGGACTAAACACCAGTGGGATCCCTCTCCAATGATAGATAATACAGACACGCAAGTAATTACTTTTGATTCCAGGTCCTTTAAAATGCAAATGAATGCCTTATGAAGTCAAAAGATTTCAGTTGATTAGCAGTTCGACACTTTACCACCAGAACGCTCTGGTGTATTGCTGGAGAAGAGAGAGACATGTTTAACTTACGTGCTAATCCTTCAGGAGGTTTCGAGTAAGAAGGAGGTTTATCTGTTAAAAAAAGAGAGAGAGATGAATGATCCTCGCTTCAGCAAATTTTATACACAACATCAGCAATTCCAATGCAGAGTCTGCAATATATTATGAAACCCAGTCAGAACTGATTCAGCCTGGATTAGGGTGTGCAGGGAGAAAACCAAGTTCCCTCTCAAAACGTGCATACAGCGGTGTTACATAGGTTTAGCAGGTGGTGTGAAAGCATCTCCAACCATCTGCTATTGGTTTTCTCCTGCAACAGCTCTCCATCCCCTTTTGCTGGCATCTCCTTCGAGATGATGATGGATTTGGGACCACCATCTTATTCATTTCCTGTGTGCAGGAGCAGGAGCCTCATGCACCTTGCTCTTTCTAAGCATAACAGGCTTCGAGCGGCAATCCATACCTATTACATAATGGCCGACCCACACAATACTGTTTATCTGCGGAGAATAAGGGCAAGACGATTTATGAAGAACAATGGGACACATCATTCCTTGCAGCGCCACCTCCCTGCTCACTGTGATCCTACAACTTTTCAAATAAACCTTGCCGTAGCCTAAATTTATTTGTCCTATTAAAAAAAACACAAAACCCTCAACATGAGCTGTTTTGTCAATCCTGGGGAGTGCGACTGACCATTCTTCAAAGAGAAGGAATCCTTAGTGGAAAGAATGCAGTAGGAGACAAGGTAGCCTTGCATATATTAGACTTGGCAGACTTTTAATTTTGTTTTTTAAGGAGTTAATTCAGCATTTATGTGGATAAGCAAGGAAATGATTGAAAATGATTGAAATGACTGAAAATTCTCATACTTAAAGGAAAGGAGCTTCCCTTGTTTTAAGAGAATTATTGTTGTTCCTTGTGTTATGGAAACTGTTCAATAGGTGACCATCACAACGATAGCTGTCTTTCATTTTCCACCTACGAGAGGTGCCAATTTATCAAAATTCCTGCATTGCTTTTGCTCCGCTGCAATGTGATTATTTAATTGCATCACAAAATTATTTGCTAACATCCCGTATCATCTCACATGTGTTCACCGCTGCAGTGTGGAATGAGAAATACTAGGATGCAGGAATCCTGCAAAAGTGGATGGTTAAAAGAAAGCCATGGGCCGGCTCTGTGTCAGAGGGACCAAACTGCTTGGCGAATTCCATTGGGATCTGGTTCCACAAGGCAGGGAGCTGAGCCTGCAGCAAACAGCATTGTAGAACAAACCCTGGAAGGGTTTGTTTTCTCCCAGACATGCGACATACCACCCCATCAGTACTAACGGGTGTCACGTGCGTGACTTGCGGAGGGGACTGCAGACATCCTGAACTGGACGTTCTGTTCCGACTCCCTGTCTACAGAGCCTGGCTTCTGGTGCAGATCTAACAGGAATGGATCCAATAATACAGTGCAACACTACACACAATAGCTGGCCTGCTTTGCATCAAAGTAGATGATAATCAACTTCTTGGAGATGTAAATGCTTTCGCTTAGGAGTTTTGCAGACCTAATACCATTCGTTTCCCGCCGGCTTGCTGTTCGTTTACAAGGGCAGTTAACCCCAAGAAAGGATGCTTTGATTCAGGATAGAGAAGATGCACGCCAACGAAGAAACATTATCCATACGCTATTGCCCACCACGCTGGACAGCTGAAAAATTCCAGGACTCGTTCCACCAAACATTTCACAATTAATCCAGCCTGACCTCTGTGCACCATGTTCTGTATCACACTATTGTCTTCTTATCTAGTTGCAAAATACATTTAAAAATAGCAAGGAACTGAAAAAGCCCAGCACTAGATTCCTTCGCGAGTCAGAATTGCCACCCAAGTTACTATCCATCCCCAAGTGGATTGTTCCAGTTATTGAAATCAATGCAGAGCAGGCCTAGAAAGACTTAAACAGCCATGCATTTTTAATTCTACTGTTTGGAGATCAAATATTTTGGCATTATCCTCAGTTGGATTCATTTGCGTTAAGACCAAAAGAAAAGAAAAAGCTGCAAGACTCAGTGCAGCCTCATGCTGCTAAACAGAAACAGTTGCTCCTCAAAGTCCCCCAAGCAATGCTCTACAGTGTCCCATGAACTGCCGAAACGTCCAAAAAGCACGCTCGGCAGGACTGAGGTTAAAGGAGTGCTGATCCTCGGCTTTTAAATCTCCCTGGAAAGCATTCCAGAATTTCAAACAGCCCTAGCATGCAAGTGAAAGATTTTGATCTCCAAGCGAAACCACGGAAACCCTCTAATTAAACTGCCATGTGAACACTAAACAAGAGCAGGCAAGGCTGATGCTTACTGAGAGGTCTTAAAAATAAGTTTAAATATGCATCCCTGCTGCTGCTGTTGTCAAAGGGGACCAAGGAAAGGATATTTTGCACAGAGGACTATACAGTGGTACCTCGGGTTAAGTACTTAATTCGTTCCAGAGGTCCGTTCTTCACCTGAAACTGTTCTTAACCTGAAGCACCACTTTAGCTAATGGGGCCTCCTGCTGCCGCCGCCGGAGCACGATTTCTGTTCTCATCCTGAAGCAAAGTTCTTAACCCGAGGTACTATTTCTGGGTTAGCGGAGTCTGTAACCTGAAGCGTATGTAACCCGAGGTACCACTGTACTGTTAATGGTTATTTCTCCACCGTTTACCGTACGAAGAATTGATATTGATTTTTGCAAACGCATGCAATTTGTACCCCTACATTTCTGACCTGTCTTCCTCTTTTCAATGTCTAAAAAATATAAAATCTATTTATAGCCGCCTTCCCCTGTCAATCACGTTCCACATTCAAGCGCTGCCATAGTGTAAACATGGAATACAATAGGGTGTGGCTGCTGTTGCATGCTGACAGCTTCTAGGAGCCACAGGTAAGAGCTGAGTGCAGAATGGGGACCAAAGGGATGGTTAAACTATCCCTGAAGGAGCATGACGTGTCCCCTATCAGATGTACTACCCCTCCCTAATACCCCATACATGCCAGTAAACAATCACACTTGGGATATTTTAAGACTAATACGAATCTATGGCTCCTCCAGTTTTTCAGATCTCTGGCAAGTTCGGATAAATAGTAAATTAGCAGTTTCCATATGTCAAGATGATTTGATGCTGTTGTTTTGAAAGACAGAGCAAGAGCAAAGTGAGGAAGACAAGAGTCCCTTTACAATTCTCGTCAGTTCTACCCACACAAACGCTGCATTTTTGCCCATCTGAAATGCTGGAAGCTAAATAGCTGCAAGGATTCTAGAACCGGAAAAGAATGTATATTATGAGAGAGATCATGTGTCAAAATTATGCAGTGTATTTATGCAAATCTAACGCGCCATCAAATCAAATGCGCACCTCCGTTTTCAAAACCTTGAAACCAAAAAAGTATTTGCTGGCGTATGTAAACGCGCCATCAAATCTAATGCGCACCCTAATTTTGGTGGTGCAATTTGGCCAAAAAAGGTGCACTGCATTCGAGTAAAAATGATATTCTATTTCATAAAGGACATATTGGTATCGATCGCACTAAGAGTTTAATGAAACTGACAGGTGGCAAAGTAGTTTTTCCATAGCTTTCAGGCCAAGGTGATGACAAGTCACAATTTTCCTCCAATTGCAGGAATGCACTGCCTTCTTTCCAGACCATTTTATGTTTGGGACAAAGCAGTGGTAAAAGAATGGGATCTTGAAGTAACAATTCAACTATGCTTAGAATAAGTAAGATGTATCTGTGGACAGAGTTTCGGTGCTATATTTCACAGTACTATGTTCCCCTCCTTCTTTAGAATGAAACAAATGGGACTTCCAGGAAAATATGGCATTATTCATATGCAAATATGTGCAGATTTAACTGACTGACTAATCAACTAAATCAGCAAAGTTGGTAAGTTTCCTTTAATCAGGCAACAGACCCAGTAGGAATCTAAGTTCTGAGTGACATCACCAAAGTGCCTTTCAAATGAATGGAACAAAAGGATTACCTTAAATTATCAAAATTGGTGGTATAGAAAATTGGCCTCAGTCCTGGAGGTCATGACAGCAAGTCCCACACTCCTGCCCTGCAATAGGACCATTTTAGGACAAGCAGGTGGAGGCTATAGACATTCTAACATACAAAGCAGGACAAATTATTCCCTGAACAACCCACAGATGGTCAATTATGGCAAAAAATTAATAAAAAATAAGAATAAAAATTGAAGAAAGTCCCTGAAGCATGAGTCCACTGGTGAACAATTTGACATAACAGTTATTTTTCCCTTTGAGGCCACATCAGCCACAAAGGACAATCAGAACATTTAAAATGCATTATCCCAATACTTACCTTTCGCAACTCCAAACAGGCTGAGGTGTTACACACAAATGGCACTTGGCTTGTGGGAAAAGTGTGTGCAGGAGAACACACATCCAAGACGATAAACTACTTGCCCACTGTAATAGCCCCACTTGCACACAGTGGACAGGATCCAAGTAACTATTTAGAAGGGCTCAAGGGCTGAATATCCTTTTAATTATTTTATTTGAATCACATCCTGCATCACACAAAATTGCTTTTGAAAGTCCCCAGCTCGTTTCAAAAGCAGCTCATTTTCCTATTGGGAGAAAAAATGTGGAAGCCGTCCAGGCTCTGGCTGGTGAAGCCATGCTCCCTGTGGCTGCCCGCTTTACAACAATATACTGTACCGGTATATTACCAACAATATACTGTACCGGTATATTACCAACAATATACTGTACCGGTATATTGCCAACAATATACTGTACCGGTATATTACCAACAATATACTGTACCGGTATATTACCAACAATATACTGTACCGGTATATTACCAACAATATACTGTACCATCCTTTAATATTTTTAATACATTTGAAGTTTCAATGTAATTATGATGCCTAAATAAATATTTACATACAAGTTTTAGGGGCCTCAGCAATAATGAACTGCTGGAAGCAATTGCACAGAATTATTTAATGTTTACAAATCCCATATTGTTCTAAAGCATCAGAAATGCGTTTCTTTCCCAGCCAAACTGTATTTTCATAAATATGTATGGGAGATAAAAGAGCAAGCAAATGTTAGCGCTCAAAGATGATGGCGCCCTGTAGCCTGGGAACAATAACGCCATGTAACAAAACTCTATGTGCCTGGAGCCTTTTTTAAAAAAAAAGAGGAAAAAAAGATTAAATCAAGTATTAACATATTGTCTAATGAAATGCACTTCTGTTAACAGATTCAAAATGTATTCAGTACCTTCTGGCTTCTCTTTATGAGATATCACAGCAAGGGGCTTGGTGAAGGTTTTCTTATTCTGCATCATTGCTAGGATCATATCAACACTAAGAAAGCTGCAGGCTTCATCAGGAGGGATGCACTAGAGGGATGAAGAGAACAAGTGGCTTGTGAGATCAGGGACTCACTTGAAACTGCTACATTATCAGAATAGGCGCATAGCAGCTTCGCTATCAGCAGCAGTCAGAGATGTTTAAGGAATAGTCAACAAAGTATTATCACAACCCCAAGTCACAGCAATCATACTCCAAGGAAGCCCCAGCAGCTGCATTTCAAGATGTAAACACTGCCTCAATATTTAGATTATTTAGAAGACCCATCAGTCATCGAGGTTGCCAAGGTTCTCCTCCATGCAATGCAATCTTGTGATAGGGCTACTGGTGTAGCTTTTTCTGTGCCCAATTAAGAAACTGGTCCAGATGTTGCTTTAGCAATGCTGTAGAAAGCATTCTGGGATGTGGTGGCGCTGTGGTCTAAACCACTGAACCTCTTGGGCTTGCCAATTGGAAAGTCGGCGGTTTGAATCCGTGCAATGGGGTGAGCTCCCATTGCTCTTTCCCAGCTTCTGCCAACCCAGCAGTTCGAAAGCACACCAATGCAAGCAGATAAATAGGTACCGCTGTGGCGGAAAGTGTTTCCTTGCACTCTGGCACTTGTCAAGGTGTCCCATTGCACCAGAAGCAGTTTAGTCATGCTGGCCACATGACCCGGAAAGCTGTCTGCGGACAAACGCGGGCTCCCTCAGTCTGAAAGCGAGATGAGTGCCGCACCCCATAGTCGCCTTTGACTGGACTTAACTGTCCAGGGGTCCTTGACCTTGACCTTATCTTAGAAAGCGTTATGTCCCCTGCTTCTTGTCAGCCTCTTGTTTTTGCACAGTTTACTATGCAAGTCAGGGCAGGGATATTTTATCCCCCCCCCCCTCCCAAATCTTTGCCAGCTAAAGCTACTGATGTGACTTATGGGCAGAGAAACTCACAATGTCAGGGTCCCACTCCTATGACGAATTCTACCAAATGACACAACCAGAGAAGATTGATATCCAAGTATACTTATTTGAGAAAGGGTGATCTTATCCACTTAAAACAAATGAAAAGCTTTCCTCCTCAGGAAAAAAAATCCCTTCTCCACACAGATATGCTGAATGCTTCCATAGCAATGAATTTTCTATGCAAATGCAGGATAAGCAATAAAAGGAATGCAGAAAACAAGTCAAAACACTCATCTATTTCCCTTCAAAATCCTCATCAAGGCAGGTCAACCTAATAATTCACACAGGGAATTTCAAAAACAATAGTGTTATTATAGCTCAGCAGGATCTGGAAAATTAATGCTAATGCATTGTTTACAGCTAATGCCACGAGCATTTAATAAATCTGGACCACTCTTGTAGTGGAAAGCAAATTCTGTTTATCACCTGTAACCATTTAGTAGAAAACGCTCATCGTGCTGTCAAGAGCCACAGCAGTTCTCAATAAATACTCTCCCAATGCTGCTAATTGCAATCATTCATAAATGAATTAATATTTATATATGGTTGACTGCTACATTATTTTGGGGTTGCTGCGGTGGAGGGACATGCTTACATTTATATCTGGAATACATACTTCCGTGTACCTGTGACACTTTAGGCACAAAAGCTTCAGTCACCATATTTTATGGAGAGCTAGAACATTGGTTAGGAGAATGAGCTGTGAGCTTGCAAGTGATCAGCTCGAATTTACCGGTCAAACATAGGCATGGAACTAACTCACAGCTTCAGCGCTTTATCTTTAGTATAGGGATAATATAATATGGTCCTATTCCACATGCATATGCAGCATTTAGAAAAAGGAAAATATTCTATAGCAACAACAGCAACCTATTGTCACGCGAGGGGGCCAAAGGGTTCCTGGCAGCCACAATTCCAATGTAAAGATTTGCTGCAGAAGTGACATTTCCCCTTAAGCAGTCGTCTGTGTCAGCCAAAATGCCTTCAGGAAACTAAATTCCCATCATATGAAGTCACACCTCTATGTTTTAATAGCCTGAGATCCCAGAAATATAGCTTCACGTGATTATTCTGGAAAGCTTAGCTTCTTAAACAAAAAGCTTTATTTGCCAACATGACTAAAATGAAAAGCTGCTGTAAAAACGGTCCAAAAGGGAATCCTTTTGCCAATTTCTCTTTTGATGACCAGGTGAGCATGTAACGCTCAGTCAAACCATGGCTCTGCCACAATCTTCACTCTGGAAACTCTCACATTGTTTGTTCACACCAAGCCACAGGTTGGCTTAGTGTTATGTGTGAAATGGGCCAATAATTTCTGCAAGCAAGCAAAATAATTTTGCAAGCAAGCAAACTATTTCATTACATTTGCCTTTCCCTGTGTAACTGTTAACGGATTTCCCTTAAATAAACCAACGCTTAGCTTCTGTGTCCTGGCATGACATGCCACACCCTGATGCAAAGCAGATGTGTCATATCTAGATGGCGACCGATGCTGTCACCGTTTTTACAGCAGCTGAATCTGTCAGATTATAAGACTGGGCAGTTACCACTTCCTCACCTCTCTGAAGAAGTAAACCTGAGCCTTGTTTTACTACTGTACTCGTCTTAATTTAGGGCTGCCATGCGTCCAGGTTCCCCCCAACACATCTGGGAATAGGGCTGCAAAAATGGCATCCAGGCGTATTTCTGCAGAATTGGCAAAATCCAGACATATGGCAACCAGGGCTCAACAACTTTGACCAAACAAAAAACCTCAACAACTTTGTCCTGATTTTCCCATTTTGGGGAACATAGCAACCCTACTTAATTGGTTTTCTTAGCGATCCCTCCGTGCTATACCTCAATCATATAGGTACTAGTCTATAGCTGTTGGATCAACCCTAGAAGTCTTTAACCTACATTTGTGTCTTTCAGTTTAGGCCCAAGATGGCCACAGTCTTCCATGTTAAATGCAAGCTGAGTGGTCTAAATCTTAAGGAGATTTATCGAATACTGACCTTGGCCAGCTCTTGAGTATATTTTTCTTTCTTTGTGCACAAAGTCACCTCACAATGAAGAAAGAGAAGCGAAGTGTTGAATACGGACCTAAACATAAAGCTAAACCGCTTTCTGTCCATTTGTGCATTTTGCATTGGAAAATTAGCTGGGGTGTTGTAGAATGTTACGGATTCATCTTTAGGACAAATGTTTTCAATAATGGTGTACTCCGACATCTTATCAGGGTATGAATGTGGAGAAATAAAGCAGGTTTGGATTGCAAAGCTCAGGGATTTTTCAGCCTTGGTCACAGAAATCTGCAGCAGGAAGAAAACAGAATTTGTAATTAATATGTTACATTTGGCTTTTTCTTAGAAATATCTACATTTTTAATGCTTTGCAGTGCAGGTGTGATAACAGTAGCAAAGTAAATCAGAGATTGCTAGTCTTGGCTTATAGGCATTTGTTCTTTGTACCCACCTGGAAATTCCAGTGAAAATATTTCCACCTTTGCCTAATCTCCACTTTATAAATAGCAGAATGTGGAAGCACGGTGAAAAAGTTGTTGCATTTGAAATGGTTTCATAGCACTAAGAACCTTTCAAAATCAAGGTGTCTGTAAACACATTTGAATGGCACAATGCAATCAAACTTATTCATGCTAGGAGCCCAATAAAAGGGATTGTAGCAATATATAAAAAGCAGAGATTAGGCTAGGTGTGTTTGACACACACTAACCTTGCACTGGCCTGGTTAACACATAACCCTAATCCATGGCTTGTTTAGCTTCATTTTCGTTTATCTGTACAGTGGTGCCCCACAAGACGAATGCCTCGCAAGACGGAAAACCCGCTAGACGAAAGGGTTTTCCGTTTTGGAGGTGCTTCGCAAAACGAATTTCCTATGGGCTTGCTTCGCTAGACGAAAATGTCTTGCAAGTTCCTGCAGGGGTTTTTTCCTCCCCCCCCCCCTTTCCCCAAGCCGTTAAGCCGCTTATCAGCTGATCCGCTAAGCCGCTAAACAGCTGATCTGCTAAGCCGCTAAACAGCTGGTCGCTAAGCCGCTTATCAGCTGATCCGCTAAGCCTCTTAACAGCTGATCCGCTAAGCCGCTTAACAGCTGATCCGCTAAGCCGCTTAACAGCTGATCCGCTAAGCCACTTAACAGCTGATCACTAAGCCGCTTATCAGCTGATCTGCTAAGCCGCTTATCAGCTGATCCGCCAAACCGCTTATCAGCTGATCCGCTAAGCCCGCTAAGCCGCTAATAGCGCTAATCCGCTAATGGGCTTGCTTCGCAAGACGGAAAAACTGCAAGACGAAGAGACTCGCGGAACGGATTCTTTTCGTCTTGCGAGGCACCACTGTATATCTAAACCCACTGCAGCCAACTATGGCTTGTTTGTGTTCGGCACACCAGAGCCTGAAGATTGGTTATGGATTTTGGCTTACATTAACCATGGCTTCATGTAATGTCAGAACTTTGCTTAATCCTGGTTTGTTTTGGTGGCCCTTTCCAGAGGCTCACATGACTAGGGAGGTGCAAGGCAAGAAACATAACAAAACCAAACGTAGGCAAAATAAGCTACGGTCATTTTGTTTGTCAGATAGACTTATCCTAGGTTGTCTAACAAACCATGGTTAAAACAAGCATGTCTTCGTGTGATGTGCTAATGTAGCGACTGTGCCTTGACAACTGATTCCATACCACCCCAAATACCCCAACACTGCCTGAGGAATGGCAGATGTATTGGAGCTACAGTGAAACCATACCATTGTAATTATGGTGCCAGATGTGCTCTGAATATGAAATTACCTTCATATACTAGACATCCAGGGAAGAGCACCTAGAGGAAAGGGCACTTTAATCAGCCTTAAGCTCTATGCTGGAATCAGAATACAAGACAGATGGTTGCTGCTAAGGATAACTAGTTGGCATGGGTATTTGACATGCCACATGAGATGCCCAACTATTGTTTCAAAAAATGGCAGTTTTTCAAAAAATAAAAATAAAAAACGTTACTTTGGAAAACTGAAGAGAAAACCCACTTCATCCTCAAGGAAACTTGAGACATAGGATTTAGAAATTATGACAGCTTTTGGCTGCAATCCTAAACACACTAACTAAGGAGTAAGTGTGCCTTATTGAGCACAGCGGCACTTATTTGAGTAAAGTTGCTTAGGATGGCAGTGCATAATACTTAACAGGTTTTAGCCTATATTTACTTGCTTCCTTGTTTTCTTTAAGCACTTCTCTGCAACAATAAGAGTTAGAAACTTATGGTGAGTTGTTTATTATTATTATAACTCACGGTATTCTTATGGGGCAAACAAGAGCCTGAAGACTGCATGCTATCGACCCATTTGAAATAGCAGGTATAGCTAATAAGGGGCCTTCTGGATGTTGTTGGACCACAGCTCCCATCATCCCTGGTCCTTGGCCATGCTGGCTGGGGCTGATGGGAGCTGTAGTCCAACATCTTCTGGAGGGGAACACATTGGCTGCCTCTGTGTTTGAGAGTTACTTGGAGTACCACACTACAATGGGGAACTATCATACCTCTACTTGGAACGGTCTCTCATTGAAAGGCAAATATGGGGTGTGCATTCTGTGGATTTTTGCCTTCATACAGTTATTAAAGGGGCAAAACTACTGTCCATAAAAAAAAAATGGCAACTGCCAATGGCCTACTTCCATATTATTTGATTTAAATTTTAAATTTTTACTTTGGCCCAAAACTCTCTGCTCTGTCTCATACAGAGAGTAAGCCCATCAGTGAGAGGAACTGTACATAAAATTGCTATTACGAATCCTTTGCCCTTGTGACAATTCAGGTTATAAATTTAAATAATCAAATTTTCTCAAAATAAAAGAAACCGAGGAGCGCACATATTAAAGGCCATTATTCCAGGAATAGTGAAGCAGAGGTGCACTGCGTGTAAATAAAGAAACCCAATCTGTTCAAAGTGTTTGTGCAGAGGAAAGAAACAGACAGTTCTTGCAGATTATATCACGGACAATTTATTGACTGTAGAGACTAGCATTTTGAAAACAAAACAAAAAAATAATTTCTGTCACTGTGGGATGGGGAACAGATGTCAGGCACAGATATAAATTTTCCACTGTGTAGAAAGACGAAAACAGAGTTTGTGCCAGGACAGGTGATGAAAAAATTAGAACATCTGTCCAACGAACTAACAGTTGGGCCAACTGGAGATCTGGAGTCAGTGGGATTCATCCAATAATGACAAAAGAAATTACCACTTTTAGTAGTGTAAAAACAAACCATTTAAAAAACACCCGGCCCATTCGAAGTGTGTTTCAGTGCTGCTTCAGTTTTGTGACCTAGGGCACAATGCACACACATTCTCCATTGCCCTGGCACTACTTTTTATGCCAGAGCCGGAAGCTGAGTCCCAGCAAAATTCAAGCGTATTCAAAGCCTGGGCAGAAAGCAGAGCCCATTTGCCATGCAACAAATTGTTGGTGCTGATGGCAAGATGGACTAGAGTTCTTGCGACAGGGAAGAAGAGAGCATCCAATATGCAGCTCTTCCCCAGGGGCCGTTCCAACTGCTCCCACAAAAGTATTGCTAGCTGCATGACACAGTGGTACACGCTCCTGATCTCGGGCCTGGAGACTGTGGTGGCTGAGGTGTACCAGAGCAGCATTACACAACGCTGCAAATGCCACAGCGGGGGGGGAGAGGGGCACAATACACAAATGGCAAAGGAACTAATTTGTATAGCTGGAAGCTGAGGAAACAATTCAAGTAGGTAAATGGGTTGTTTATTGGGTTGTTTACATTTTTATTTTGATTGTGTATTTCATGCTTTTAGGTTGTGATTTTATCCTGTGAACCTCCATGAGACCTGTGGGTATAGGGCAGTATACAAATAACAACAACAACAACAACAACAACAGTAGTAGTAGTAGTAGTAGTAGTAGTAATAGTAGTAGTAATAATAGTAAGTTAAAAGTGCACCCAAACATAAAAGTGGGAGTGGTCCTTCCTGTGAATATTTTCCTTCTAATGCATTTAATGGCATTTAAAGGGATTTCCAATAAGGGTCACAATTGTGTGTGGAGCTGGTCTGAGCCCCGGGGCGAGAGTCTTGTTAGAATAAAGCTGTAAACTCAAACATGACAGTGTAAGTCTGGCAGGCCCCCAGCAGGGCCGCCAACTTATCCCTCTGAGGCCCGGGGCAAGTGTACCCAGCTGCCCAGGCCCACTTCATGGGCCTGCCTGGGAGAGTATCCCTGGGGCCATCATGGGAGGATGGTCACAACTGCAAGGGAGGCAGAGCCCTTCCACCATTTCTTTCTGAGCTCTAAAATCCAAAACTGTATCCTCGCAGTGTCTGTCTCCCCCCCCCCCCCGCCCCCGCAATCATATTCATAAAAATCCCATCATTCAGCGACTCCCTGGAGTCTTTTCTGTCTATTTTCTAATGAGAAAGAGAGGAGAGAGGAGAGAGGAGAGAGGAGAGAGGAGAGAGAGCACTAAAAAAAGTAGTGTGACTAGGTAGGGATGTTCAGTCAGACATGGGAAATGAAGGAGACATCAGACATTCAGGGAGGACATCACTAAGCCAGTGCAAGTCAAGACCACAGCAGTGCAAACACTTGTTCCACGTGCACACTTGTCCCATTCCAGTTTGTAAGGAAGTACAGAAGTAAGAAGGGACGCAGGTGGCGCTGTGGGTTAATCCACAGAGCTTAGGACTTGCCGATCAGAAGGTCGGCGGTTTGAATCCCTGTGACGGGGTGAGCTCCTGTCTCGGTCCCTGCTCCTGCCAACCTAGCAGTTCGAAAGCATGTCAAGTGCAAGTAGATAAATAGGTACCGCTCCGGCAGGAAGGTAAACGGCGTTTCTATGCGCCAGAAGCGGCTTAGTCATGCTGGCTACATGACCGGGAAGCTGTACGCCAGTTCCCTCGGCCAATAAAGCGAGATGAGCGCCGCAACCCCAGAGTCGGCCACGACTGGACCTAATGGTCAGGGGTCCCTTTACCTTTACCTTTACAGTAGTAAGAGCAGGACATATACTTGGTTAAGTACTTCCACGCCCAAATCCATAGTGGGCGGAGCCAGATCTGGTATATTGTCTTGTACCTGCCATCTTTCTCTAGCTCAGTGCAGCTGTGTGAACTTTCCAACAGCACAAGAGTCAGTGTGGTGTAATGGTTAGAACCAAACTAGGGTTGGTTACATCTGCAAAGCCCAGTCCCTCTCACTCTCGGCCTAATCCATCTCCCAGGGTTGATATGAGGATACAAGGGTGTGAGTGGCAACAGGGAACTCATTGGGGGAAGAGCATTATAAATATCTGGATCTTAATCCAGCTTTGCCTAAGGTCTGGGACAGATAATATCGCTCTCTTGCAGGTGGAATTAAGCCACACTGCTAAACAAAACGGATTCTTATGCTTTGCCGATGGCTCTTTGTACTAATGTTAGAAAAATGTTTTGATTGTGCTTTGCCAAAGAGCCAACGGTCTTCAATGGCTGCTCTTTCACAGAGGTTTCGACGAGGGTGACACATGTATTTGCATTGAGCTTGCCCACGCTGAGAGGAGTCTTTGGTCTCTGCTACAAAAAGCATTCTCTCTCTCTCTCTCTCTCCCTCTCTCTCGTGATCTCTACAATTTCCCTTTTCAGAAACCACAAGAGAATACATCTGTCTGCCTGAGGCGACAGCGCAGTTGCAGCTCAGGGCAGGCAAGAACAGACTTAGCCGAGCTCCCATGTTCTCGGAGAACATTTCATGGATTTCCATTTCTGTCACAGTTCATTACCTCAACAAAAATCTGGCCGTTCTCTGCAACGGAGAAGAACCCTTGGGTTGGGGTACGGAAGAGGCCTGTTTCGTAAAGTTCCATGCTGAATGTGACGTTGCCGATGCGCGATTCAGGTGAATAGTACTTAGGAGATTTAGGAGCTTTCAGCTGATGGATTGTGCAGTTGAACTAAAGCAAGCAAAACAAAACAAATTAAGGATGCAGAGAGGAGAAATAACATCGTGGCTGTGGGGCAGTCACAGGGACAGAGGGATTCATCATCAGGGAAGTCTTGCGTAGGGACTTCAAATAGCTCAGTTAGATAGAGCATGGTGCTAACACCAAGGTCACAGGTTTGATCCCCATAAGGGACAGCTGCATTTTCCTACAATGAAGGGGCTGAACTAGAGGATCTTCAAGGTCCCTTCCAACTCTGATCTACGATTCTATGACTTCTGCTTGTGCAATTGGGCTTTCCTCCTCTCCTTCCCCTGTGCACCCCATGGAATGGGCTCTATGGGGGTTGGGGAGGAGAAGTGGGATTGTTCCACCAGGCAAGCTGCAATGCTCGCGCAGACAGAACAACTGGAGGAGCACGACACTGAATTACACCCATAGTGTTTTGCCAATACATACAATCATCGGCTGCAGCACACTCACATAAAAGGATATAGACAGGTCTATAGAAGTGTGTATTTCAATATTTGGAAATAAATAGTGGTTCACAAAAATAGAAAAATCAAAGTTTTTGCCAAGGCCCAACTATTCCTCCAGTGCTTGATTCAGAAGTGATTCCTTCCTTCTGTTTTGCTTGGCTCTCTAATTTTCCCGTGCCTGGCACTACAATGATATCCCCCCCCCCAATAAACCCCACACACTCCTCTACAGCAATCTAACATGGCTATTTCTGACTCTTTCACAATAAAAGAAAATCACTCCATCTAGTCTATACGTACGCAGAACAAAGCAGAAACTTTAAGGGTCCTCACTTTCCTCCAGAGTCCAACAATGGACAACTTTTTTTTTTTTTTTGCAGGGAAGGGGTACAGAAAGGAGGACTAAATTGATATGGGCTCATGGCATGCTTTGAGGTTCTTAGGGCACACAATGAAGAGGACAAAAGGCTTATAAAGGATTAAAAATGATAAAATCATGGGGTAGTTGTTACTGCTCACCATGCAAGAAGGGCATGGACAGAAAGCCTCTAGAGCTGCTTTGAAAAGAAAGCAAAAAGGCTTGCTTCCTCTGGCTCCTGCGCTTCTCTGGTATTTTTTGGGGGTGGGGGTACATGAAGGCATATACTGCATAAGCATCAGGAGAAGTTTGTGTCTCAGCTCACAACTGCCTGTGCACAATTCACTCCACACACTGAGAGTCAAGATCATAGTGAGTTTCGTCCCTGTTCCAAATTTTCTTTATGCAGCCAGACTGTGGATAATTGTTACATACCCGAACAATTTCAGTCCTGCTGGAAATGACGATGTCTGTTTCATCAGTGTCCCCAGGGAATCCATTATCCCCTGATTCCATGTCTTCATAGTCAACCGCCCAACCACTGGCCTCAATTGGTGACGGCACATGGATAACAATCTTTGACAAAGGAAGAAAAGAGTAGAAAATTTGTCGTTCTATCAAAACTGTTCGGGGAGGAGTTCCACCTCACTTGCCCCCTTGAGTCAGAAACATGGATCAAGAAACGTTGCTGGTGGGAAAAGCTAATCATATTATCAGGGCACCCTTACAGGGATTACTGTTTAACCCATCTGCACCCTGCTCTTCCAAGGTGGCTTCTCCCCTGTTATCCTCACACCCTGTGCAGTAAGTGCAGGCTGTGACGTAGTAACTGGTGCGAGATCACCACTGGCTTTGTAGGGATTTGAACCCCCATCTTTCCAGTAAGCCCACCACTGAATCTCTAAAGGCAAGCTTGGAGCAAGCAAAAGGAAATGCCTTCAGCTTGTTTCCAAATCTGGAGCCTGCTTGAGCAATAAAAGTATTGCAGTCTGGGCACTGGTATGTAGATGAAGATACCAGCAGCCCCAGCTCTGCTTCTGGTAAAGCTATGTACTCAGCATTGTTAACAAGCAATGGCTGACTGGACTGGTATACACCCTACTTTTCAGTAAATCAGCACAAGATACAATTGAGCCAAGAGTTTGGACATGGTAGCTCTTCTTCTTTTTAAATGTACAGACATTTCTAACCCTTCCTTTAAAATAGTTCTTTTGCTTTCTAGTTTTCCTTCTCATTTCTGTATCCTGCTATAACTCCCACACTGGGCTGTGTTAGGCATCTCCTGCCCACTTTTCACACACAAACATTCCCCACATATTCCGTTCCTCTGCATTTCCTGACTATTCAGCTTTTCCTTAACTCAATTTCATCTGTTTGCTCAGATGTTGGGGTTGTTGCTATCCAAAGGAGCAGTTCTACTGTTTTCAGGCGTTTACTGCGTAATTCTATATCTGCTTTGATGGTGTTGGAACTGGCCTGAGATTCAGTACTCAGGGGAAAAAAATCTGAGATTTGGATCTTGAGTAAAACTTAAGTCTTGGCATGTTTGGGGTTAACCCACCATTAAAAATGGCGGGGCAACTGCTGAATTGAGATCCAGATGTGCATTTTTCCACAGCCTGTTGATCCATGGTTTTTGGTTGGGTACATCTCTAGATCAACAGCCAGAAGGTCTGGCCAAATAAAGGATTTCTGGAGTTTTTCTCTTTTTAAAATTGGACTAGGTTATGTCTGATCAGGTTGCCTTCACTGTATTTGAGTTGGACGATAAGCCCTTCAGCATATGCCAAAATTGCCACTATGTGCTGAAATCTCATAAGCCAAGAGATGTCCTTTTCTCTTAACCTGAGCTGGCCAACATCTATTCACAATCGTAGTGAAAATGTTGAGCTAGTGCTGAAGATAGAAATCTTAGAAGTGGCGTATGGTTTCTTGCATACCTGCTTAGCTACTTGGAAAATCAGATTATGCACTTGGATTCAAATTTCAGGTGCTGAACATATATTAACCGTGATTTAAAATGCACTTAACAAAAACTAGTGTGTGCTAGGTAATCATGCCATACATTTTTCTTTACAATGGAAACTTATTTGAGAGCTGCCAGGTTGATGCGCCAAGTTCAGGCCCTCAAACAGGCTATTACTTACTGAACCACTGTTCATATGTAACAAAAACAACAACTGGCTTGAACAACAATAGGAGAACTCTTACAGATCTAGCCTGATCCTGAGAAAGGAACTAAATGTTATAAGACATGCAAGCTGTCTGTTTCCATCCTAAACACCACTAGATTCAAGAACATTAATCCAGGCTTAATCCAGGCTTGTAAATAGCCACTCTCCTGGTTGGAAGAATTGCCTCTAGACGCTCAGGCAAGACAGCTGGCTTTGCAGCCTTCTCTCGCACTCTTGCAGAAAAGGGGAAGATGTACTCTTTGATGGGTAACTGGACTTCTGCTGTGGAAGTGGCACTGTTTCTCTTCACCTCCCTTCTGGGAGCATGAAAAATCAGTTAAGCATGCCCAGTGCAGCACAGAATCTCTCTGTTCTGAAGGCCCCACACTGGGCTGTCTCTCTACCCATTACATAAATGGAGATTAGTAGTTACTTTGGACCCTCCAGATTTGTCTCTGAAATGTAGTGGGTTCTGTTCTAAACACAGAGTAACAGCTAGCAGGTCTTGCCTTGCTTTCTTTCCCAACAATAGGAAGCAGAGCCTATTAGCTCAGTTGAGTTTACCTGGCTGGGCAAACATAGTGAAGTTGGATTCTGCATTTCTGCTAGAATAAGTGGGGTAGAAAGAGGATGCAAGGAGATGACTAGCTACTTTTGCTTTCCCATTCCATTAAGAGAAAAAAATGGATGCCCATGCTCCATCAATGTAAGTTCATTGCTTTCTATCTACTGTGGAAAGCCATTTACCTCCTAAAGTAGGGAAAAAAGCGAGAAGCCATCACTCAAGAAAATATGCCTGAAATTGCATTCATATACATGAAAAGACAGGGACTTCTTGCTGTTAAGCCTGCCTTTCTATCATTACAATTTTTTTTTTACAATAAATAAAGTATCACCAGGACAACAACAACCCTATGATTGCAAGATACAGACAATTATTTCTGCTATAATAGACTCACAGAGTTCAGATACACGTTATCCAAGGCATAGGCTATCCGTTGAGTCCCACAATCATGCAGCGATGACTCCAAAATAAAATGGGTCTTGTTTGTCTTAGCTCTACATGTAGGATCCAGCAGAGAGAGTTGTGTCCCGACGTAACCGCTAGCCTAAAAAAGGGAGAGATCACAATGCAAAATTACACTCCAAACTACAAATCAGGGCTCCAAATGACAGCGTTGGTTTTTTAACAGTCTGACTATAAAGCATTTTTATTTACCATCTTGCAAAATTCTGTATTAAAATATTGCCCTCCAAAAGTGCAGACTAGTTGGTTTATAGAATGTTCAGTCTGGTGGAAAGGTAAGTTTTGCATGCACAAAATAAAACACCAGAGCACCATTGCAGTGTTTCATTTTATTGAGAGACCCGCTGAGATAACTGTCTGTAACTTTAGATGATTTATTTTCCAAAGGGAGAAAAGAAGATAATGCATTTTGGAGCATATTTTAATCATCTTTAAGTTTTGGCTCTGACTTAAACGGGAACAATTGTTTCACAATTCCAGCTGCAGTGAATGCAGTCCTTTGACAGCCTTGGGACAAAAGCATAGGACTGATCACTGGTTGGGCAGATAATGTCAACCATATGTTCCCTTGTAGCTGTGGGGTTAATACGCAACACACTCCATAGTTTATTCAATAGTCAAATCACTCTATCCTAGTTTGTTCCAATGTGAAATTAAGAAATCATACCAACCTCCAGTGAGTCTTTTGCTACAGCTACAATCATGGACGTGTCATCACACTTCACCGTCAGGGCAACATGAACGCTACCCTGAACTTCTTCTGGTTCTGAGACTTTTGGAAGGAGGTGCTCAAAGCCACGATTGGTCCTAATTGTGTCCACCATATCAGTTGATGGCAAGTTTCCATCATGATCTCGATGGAAGTGGAAGTCAAAACTAACGCCTTCGCTTGAGGGTGCGAGTGGAGCTGGCAGCGGGTTAACACCACGCAGCAGCTCCTTCAGCTCTGGTGGGAAATGGTCTTCCTCATCATTCATCTCTTCTAGAGAAAGACAGAAATTTGGAGACGTTACAACGTTCCTTTAGTTTCCTGTGACTCTGAGCTAAGCAACGCATGACATCGGGGGTTGCCAGTCTTTTTAAGCCTGTGGGTGCTTTGGGATTTCTGAGTAAGTGTTTTGTGCACCGCTCCTCCACTCACATCTCACCTGCAGGATTACACACTACTTTCCCAAGGGATATGGTTAAAAGTTGGATCCAATGGAAATAATCTGAGCCTTGGAAAACACATGGAGATGTCAGAGGAAGTAAGAAACAGCATCGCTCTTCCAACTTCCTCCTTCAGTTGTATCTACTTTTAGGAGATTCTAACTAAACATCAGGAAGACCTTTCTGACGGTATGAGCTGATCGACAGTGGAACAGACTCCCTTGGAAGGTGATGGACTCTCCTTCCTTGGAGGTTTTTAGCAGGGCTGGATAGCGATCTCTCATGGATGCCTTAGTTGAGATTCTAGCACTGCAGGGGGTTGGATTAGATTCACCTGGAAGGTCCCTTCCAAACCTGTGATTCTATCACAATAAGGGGCAGTGGCAGGGGGGTTCAGAGACTTTTGTGGGTGACAGGGGAAGACATCAGGGGTACCACAGGCACCACACTGGCGAGCCCTGCAGTATGTCAAAAATGCTATTAGATCACTCTGATAGGACCTGCTACTTCTCCTTCTTAACAAAGAAGCATGGGAGGCTTCCAATACATTTTGGGACTGCAGTGAACAGGGAGAGTTGCCATTTCTTACAGAAGATCCCATGCAGCTGCTCTTTGCCCCCAGAAGGTAATACACGCAGCACTTTCAGGGGCAAATAGCAGACAGGGTGTGGGGCGAGAAAAAAGTCTTCAGAAGGTAGCAGATATCCTTGGTTTCCCTAGCTGAAGCTAGTGACCTTCCCAAAAAATCAAACTGCAAGGCTAGCAACTTTATTTCACCAATGTAACATTCATCCCAGGGGATTAGATCCAAACTTGGCCCCCTGCAAATGAAAGGGCTGCTTCTGTTTGCAGAAGGGCCTTCAATCCGGCAGAGGCTCCCACTGGAGAAACGGGGGTTGGAGACCATTTTCACCAATTTCCCGTTACCCCTGTAGCCCCCAGCACCAATTTGGAGCATCCAGTAGGTGGGGTTCTGCTCCCTGGAAGTCTTAATTCAACCTAGTATCTCCTGATCAAAGCATATCTCCTATTACAACTCTCAAAGCTTTAGTGAATCCAAGGCTCTTGAGGGGAGGAAAAGGACCAAGAAGAGTTCAAGAAAATGGCTGCATACTTGATACAAGCCAGCCTCCTGACTTACCAGTGTCCTCAAGGCGTAGATGGAACCTATTAGCAACAGGTGCTTTTGTATAGGAAGTAACTGGATGGTAGCCATGGTCATAAGCCCACGTAATCAAACTCTCATGAGAGGAGGGAATATTGGAAAATATGTTTTTAGTCATCACCATCGAGCGTTCCGTTTCCTTTCCAAAGCCAACACTGTTTGCTGCCTGCGCAGAAAAGGAGATAACATTAGGATTCTGGATGAGGCTTTTCCAAGTCTTGTAAAACCATGTCAGGAAACTGATATTTTTACCCCTTTCTGGGGTAAAAAATAACATGAAAAGGAACTCTTTTCAACAACTTCTTTTCATCATTTTTGCAGTGAACTTTTCTTCCAGGCAGACTGATTTGTCATCCACACGACCAAATCCTTTCGCACCACAGAATTGTGAGAGGTTTGCCATGGATGAGGCTAAATCCCCACACTTTGCTGGGACAGTATAATCACTTAGAGCCACTGCATCATGTCAAAATACAACAGCCTGTTTTTCTCCCCCCCCCTTTGCTTCTCAATACAATGATTTTTAGATAAAGAACAAAAGTTCTTGATAATGTGGAAGGATAGCAAGGACTGTAAGTAGCTGTAAGAACTAAAGCATATCCAGGGCTCGTAGAGGCTGATGTGTAACGGAAATTACATGAAAGCTAATTGAAACAACTTCCATGTTGGGGATTGTCCCACTGGCCGTCATGACATGTTAAGGGGCTCATTGCATGGATGGTCTCTACTCTGCTCTGCTACTGGATGTAGCAAATCTGAAATATGCGCTGGACGAGTCAAGGGTTCTCCAGAAGTTGTTGGACTAGTACTCCCATAGGAGCCAACTCCTGGGGCCAAGATCCCTTCAGCCAGGCCCACCCAAAGTTAATGGTCATTGCCATTCGTGTGTGTGTATGTGTGTGTGTGTGTGTGTGTGTGTGTGTATCATGTAATCTACTATGCAGGGTGGGGCTTACCTCCTCCCTCCAATATTTTATTCAAGTTAGCACCCCTCAGTAATCTCAGGGGTAATCTAAGATCATCCAGAAGATAACTGAGTTTGGAAATGTTACACTGAAAACCTTTCAACTTCACACCGGCCCTCCTTAGGCAACTGAAATGTTTAGACTGGCCCTTGATTTTACACTGGGGTGGCCAACCTTTTTTTGGTTCCAAGGGCAACATTCACTCTTGGACAGGCTTTCAGGGGTAAATGCAATTGTGGATGTGGCTAAAAAGAAGTGTGGACACTCCGCAATCTTACATACACACATGGGCTATATGGAGGCCCATTGCTGAATTTATTTTAACTACAGCGATGTTAAGTAGTCAGTAAACTATATACTGTTGCATAAGATGCCAGTATTTTCTAGCACATAATAAACAGCAATCGTAGCCTATGGGGGATGAATATGGAAGCCAGCTTTATTGAGTAAAAGCTTCAGGGAAAAGATACCCTTTCCATGTCAAAATGCTTTTTTAAGAATTAGGACATGGGTCAACCCGCAAAATACTAAAAAGGCCATGCCTGATTCTTTGTACACTGAATAATTTGCATTTTTGTGACGATTAATGTTAGCAATATGAATTGTCATCTGAAGAAGAAGAAACAGAACCTTTCAAAACCCATGTTTGAAAGCTTCCTCTGATGCTCCTACAGAAGACGCCAGGCAATCTTGAAATCTCTATGTGTTTGAATGGTTTGCTGCGGGTGGTACTGAAAGGAGATCCATTAACAAAAAGGGTAGCAAATCCCGTTTTGGGGAGTGGGCGGAGGAGGAGTTTCTGCTCTTGAGCTGTGCCTGCCTGCCCTGTTTCTGCCCAAAATACTATCTTTTGAGTGGACTAAAATCTGGATACAATTTTTTTTTACACATGTTTCAAATAAGCAGGCAAGTTTGGATTGACCTGAGATTACGACGATCCCTAAATTTTCCGGATTTCCTGCTCTCTCTCTCTCTTTTAAATGTTAGATAAAACAGCTGAACAAATATTTTTCAGAATATAATTGTCATAACTGGAACCTGCCCATTTTAAAGGACTGCGTCCCTCTCTATTCATATAGACCCATTAAGATTTAATGTATCCAAATAGGAGCATACAGGGTCTATGTTTATGTTCTGGCACTATTCTGGCACATAATGTTGGGACGCTTGAATATAAAATAAAAATACATATTCTCAAACTAGACACGGATTTTCCTATGGGTCAGATGCAGTTAATTTGAATTTGGAATGTTACTTTTTAAATCTCTCCTCTTCCACTGGTATTTTTGCAGATGGGACTGCTTAGGGCTAATCAAAACAAATTTGGAAAGTAAAAAAGGCAATTCAAAATTTGGATTCATTTCTACCCAGCTTCTTGATGCCTTTGCCCTAGTTTTCTCTGTTCTACATGGTGAGCTGATAGCACGACCTTCAAGCAACGATCAGTTGTGGCTGGGATGAATAAGACACTTTCTTATTCAGCCAAACGGGCATCAATGTAAGACTTTGCTTGAGCTGTTGGCTCAAGGCTCCTTCCAGAGTACATTCTGTACTTAAGAATTGTATGTGATCAATAGTGCAAACCTACATGTGAAATGAAGCTGAACTGCATCCGATGGGGCTCACTCCAAGGTAAGTGTGCAGCGGATCACAACTTTCAGTGAGATCATGTGCGTACTTGAAGGTGCATCCCACACAAAAGCATGTTTAGAGCTGTAGCCTCAGTCAAGCTGAAACTGGAGATCACAGGCTCCCTCAAAACTTAAAAGAAATGGGACTTTCCTGTCTATATTCTTTTGTATGATTCTATACATCAGAGCACAACCAGCCCAAATTAACTCCTTTAACTTTCTTTACAGGCAACTTAATTCTGCCTCTCAGGACCCCTGCCATTTCCACTGAGTGAAAAAACATGAGCAAAATTGCAGAGGAGTGAAACCGGTCCAGCTAATAAACAAATAATTGGAAGCACAACTTAATTAAGAACGTTAAAAGAAGTTCTGCTGGAACTGATCAAACATCAGGTCTAGCATCCAGTTTCCAACGGTGGCCAGTAAAATACTTCCAAGGTATGAAGCATTGAATGGGGCATCAAAGCAACAGTACACTTTAGTAATGCATTTTAAGGAGTATAACTAGACACCATAACTTGGCAGCATGCCAGCAGGGCCCAGTAATGTGAAGTGGACTGGGGGGGGGGGGGTATTGCTGACCCAGCTTCCCAACACAGAGGTGGCTGCCAGAAACTGAGGGTGGGAGGGGAGAGGCAGTGTGGAAGGATCCTTGATGTCATTAGGTCCCTTGGACTTCTATGATTCTGTAGAGGGAACATGTCAAGAAATTTTGCGTAACAAGAGCTCTAACCCAGGAGCGAGGAACCTCTACCCTGCAGGCCCGATTAGGCTCAGAAGGGGTCCTAATTTGGCTCGTGGGGCCATTTCCCTCAAACCATGCCTACCTGCCCCACCTCTGATATCATAGGTGATGGCAGGTAGGAGACAGGTAGAGGCGCGGCCTTCACTTTGACATGTGTTTCCAAAAAACACCTGCTTGGAAACACAGTTCAAAGTGCTGTCTCTCAGTGCTCAGCGGCTCACAGGATGTGGAGGGAATTAAACTGTGAAGTGTGAAGCTGCTTTGAAATGAGACTTCAAAGGCGTAGATGTCAACTAATGCCATTATGACAGGCAGGGTCCCTGCTCAACCATCAAACTTCGCCTGTGGGGTTTGTGAAGATAAGAATCTTGGCCCACCAGAATGGAAAGGTTCCATGGCTCTGCCTTAACCCATCGGATCTCTCTGGGCATGTTTTTGTTTTTTTAATAAAAGAAACCCTCGGCTAGAATGAGGGGTTAAAGAAAACCAAAAGTGAAAATCTTCACCCAGTGAGATACGAAAGCTAGGAGCTACGGTAAATGGCACCTTAAACCAAGATTATGGGCGCAACAATGGAATGTCTAGGTGCGCTTTTTAATAGCAAGAATACAAAGCTGGAAATGAACGAACTGCAGCTAAAATCTTACGTTCGTTTTTTACATGGTCTAGTCCTCATATGAAGACTGCATATTCTTATGAGGGTCCTTTCTCCAATCTTCAGAGAGTGGCTGGAAGTGGGGAGGCAGAAAAAGGTCCTCCTTTCCTTCCACTCTGCAATTTTAATCTGAAATCTTAGGCACAGTACTGCACCCAAAGCTCAGAAACGGCTTGCGCAAATGAAATTCCCTATTGCAAAATGTGCCTAGAACAATGGGAGTTTTGAACACTGTCTTCATCTGGTTGTGAAGAACAGCATGCAATGCTACTCTCATGAAACATTTGGGAATGACAGACAGGGCTCTTTTTCAGCTGGGAGTCAGTCCCGGCATCTCTCAGGTGGGCGCCATTGCCATTATAAGAGAAAGAAGGGAGGCGTTCATGGCGAGTTCTGGCATCTCTTTTTCAAGAAAAATAGCACTGGTGACAGATGCAATGCACCACCTCTTAATCAAGCAGCACATTACTCAGTACCCAGGTTGGGTGGGGAGAACCAACAACCAGGATTAATAGCAAAAGTTGAGGAGATACTCAGAGAATATGTCTGTTATCATGGGCTCACTTCTTCACATAAAAGCCTGAGCTGTTAACAGCAGCCGTGCCTCCCTTACAACAAGTCATATCTACTTACAATTGCTTCCAGTTTCCCCTTCACGTCATGGGACTTGATGACCCAGTTGACAGACTTTCTGCACTTGAGGATAAGTACAAGATCCCTGACAAGTGTGGTGTCTGGCCGAGATGGTCGAATGTCAATGATGATATCCACCTGGAAAGCACTGGTCGTGGAAAATAAAAAAGAGTGAGGCCCCAGCACGCCAGAAATTTTCAGCTATCAACCTTCTTTCAATCCATCATGTTTCCAGTGTCTGGCCAGCTGATTAAAACGCTGGAGGTTATCCCAGACGGTACAACATGTGCAAAACAGACTGTTACGCCACACATGCTAAAACAATTTTACATAACAATGGAAACAAAAATGCTTTTTAGGCTAATAATTACTGTCCAGCAGCAGCTTTGCTTTCTCAATTAGAGGTTGCTGGTTGCTCATTGCCACTGCTTTGGTGCTGGTTAAAGAGAACCACTCGGAGCTCGTTCTCCCACCCCCGCTATTTCCCCATTTCTTCAGGAAATTTTAAATGCACGTTTCTATCCAATTTAGTCCATTAATTTGGAGCACATGTCACCTTATTGTACCCCAAAATTATAGCTTGGCAGCATTGTTACGGAAGGAAAAATGGAATAATAAGTGAGAGAAATGCATCTGGTCTGCTGAGCTTTGAAAACAATGGGGAATGTGCAAAAAAACAAAGTATGTTTGGGCAGTGATGAAGAATGGGACATTTTCAAAACGCAGTTATTAGCTTGGCCCGCTGCTCATCTTTAGGATAATGGAAGCTTAATGTAAATGCATCTGTTCTCTTCACATTACACTTTGTGTCAGATCTGGAGTGCCCTCCCTTCCTTTATTCCCGAAGAGTGAGATGAGGTCTCCTGTGTTCCCCAACCTCCGATACTTTCTGAGGTAGAAGTTAATGAGTATTTCAGGGTGCGATCCTGATAATGGGGGGTGAAGCAGCACTTGAACAAGACCCGTAAGCCCATGATCAGCTGAGGTATCTTCTCAAATATTTAGGTCAGAGCCCAACTTTATCATAGAACCATAGAAACGTAGAGTTGGAAGGGTCCTGAGGATGAATAGGATCCAAAATGCAGCAGTCTAATTGTTCCTAGAACAATAGGATCCAGAATGCAGCAGTCTGGTTGGTCCACAGGAGCCACCCAATCCAGCTCCAGGTGGAAGTGAATCCGCAACCTGATTGGACTACAGGAGAATCCCAGAATTAGCCAATCACGTGGGACCCATTGTGTAAATAATGTATATAAAGCACACATTCTGGGGGAACTTCCATTCCTCCTCACTACTATGAGCTGAATAAAGAGCATGAGATCCACTCTCGACTCCGAGTATACTTCATTCCAACCGCCTGCAATGCAGGAATATGCGGCTGTCCCATATGGGGATCAAACCTGCAATCTTGGCACTATCAGCACCACACTCTGACTGAGCTATTGCCCTCCCTGTAAGCAGCCTCTTTGACCTTGATAAAATTTACCACATTGATTTCTAATCTGAAGACAAATTCTGCGACCTGTTTTGACACCCCCATGTGCTAAATAACAGACATACTGAAACTTTTGTTTCAAAGTGCCGCAATCTAAAAGTATTTATGTCAAATAAACTTTTTGGAGTTTTGCTTTTCTCATAGACTGAGGATCTGCTTCTTTAAAGCTGCAGAATGGGCTGAAATAAACAATATTTTTGGCTTGGAGAAATAGGAACTGGCACTTTACCTGTATGGGTTAGAGTCTGGTGTGATTAGTTCAATTATGTGAACTTCTCTTTCTTGATCCATGCTGGAGACAATGCATCCTTCTGCTGCCTTGGGTTGCAGGTATCCCGCAAGGTAGTTCAAGGAAATAAAGTTCTTCTCTATATTGCATGTTGCAGGGAAAAACTGATCTAAAAAAAGAAGAAGAGATAAAACAAATCATCCTTAGATGATCAAATACGGTTGTAAAGGTTAAAGCTACCATGTGCCCTTCCTGGCTGGATCCCAGCTTAAGGGCTCCCCATTCACCAAGGCTACCATTGCACTACCTTGATTCCATTGTTCCTTTCAATGTGGCCTGAAATGGCTTAGAGTTGCCATAGGAGCAGTAAAGCCCAAAGCAGGAATAATGCTTAACCATGTTCATTGGGAATGGTGCAAGACTTCAAATGGGAGGTGGGAGAAAGAAATGTCAACTCCTCACAATCAAAAAAGCACGAGCTCATTCTAAGGGAGATCCATCCTCCTTTGAGATGGGGTTAAGCATAATTTCCAACTGGGAGTTTATTAGTCTTTGGTTTTCTAACCACAAGCACTAAGATACCTAGCAGGACATCATTTGCAGCAAAGCAGAGACCTTATGGGGCTGTTCCTGTGTGGAAGTGGATCTTCCATTACTTGTTACTCCCTCCCCAAAATAAGGCCTTTTTCCTTGCCTGGGGAAAGAGGTTGCAGGGAGGGGATTGATAGGGAAGTGATAGAGAAGGGTGCAAAATCCTACTTCGAATTGTGCCCAGTTCAGAGGGCAATGCACCCTTACTCTAATGGATTTTTGGGCACATCTCTAATAATAATTTGTACCTCTATATTAAGCTAAGCACATAAAGGACACATACAGGAGGCAGTAGTTAACCATGGTTAACAAACTATAGCTTGCAAGCCCATGTCAAACCATGGTTTCACAGCCACATCAATTATCTTGTCTCCTGATTGTGGAGATGAAACCAGGCTTGCCTTGGATCCTAGGCTACACCATTTCCTAGACAGGGGCTTGATCAGGCAAAAAAAAAAAAAACAAAACAAAACAAAAAAACCACAACAACCCACAAAAAACAAAACCCAAACCTGCCCCCGACCTTTTGCTCCACACCTTCCCATTCTTCATTATAAGTGTTCTGTGAGACTCTCAAGTAGCTGTTCTGTGGTCAGAACCACATTCTAAGCCCTTTCTGTACAGCTGCACAGCTGATAACCCGCTACGATGTTAATAAAGTATAATAAATTACAGTAATGTTCAAAAGCTGTCTGTAAAATGCTCGTTAAAACAGTGTTTTGACAAGTCATGCAATTCTACTTGCATCTCAAATTTTGTTTTATTGTTCATGTCCTAAGGCAAGTTTCTAAAACAGTGATAATTACAGTGTGAGAGGAGTTTATTTCTTGATATTTTCAGTTTCAGCATTTCATTCACTTTTTTTTTTACTTTAGAAGTGATACTTTCACAAACAAAAATTGTGACATGATTTTTTGCATAATATATGTCAGTTACAACATTCTGTGTTTCCTGGTGCAGAATTCTGAGTTAAACATGGTGCAGTTGTGGGTTGTTGTTTTTTTACACCAACTATTAAAAAACCCCCACAACCTATAGTAAAATATTATCATGAATGAAGGACTGGCTGTAAACTTCCGCTCTATCCACTTTCTCTACAACATGCGAATTCTAAAAATCAATTCTATCATGTCACCACTTCTTTAAAACAATAATAATAATATAAATAATTATATTTGTACCGCCATCTGGCGGGTTCCAGCACCCTGGGCGGCTTCAACAAAATAAAAATACACAAATTCACATCATAAATTCCCTAACAGGCTGCTTCTTCTCTGAAAGTCAGTAGTTGTTTATCGCTTTGACATCTGATGGAGGCGTTCACACAGGGCGCCATACGAGAGGCCCTCTGCCTGTTCCTGTAACTGACTTCAGTGAGGAACCGCAGAAGCCTCGAGCTACTCATTCGCGAACGATGGGGTGGAAACCTCCTTCAACGGACCAAGGCCTCAAACATTACAATCCTTTCTCTGGGGAAATTGTTCCAGCTGCTGGATCAGATTGGTTGCCTTTCTCTGTACCTTTTCCAGCTTCACAATTCATTTATTTAATAGGCTCAGCGAACAGATCTGTACACGGTATTCCCAAGTGTAGTTGCATCATAGACATGTATAATAAAGGCATTAATGGCAGGGGTGTTCCCCCCCCCATCCCTTTCCATACTAAGCGGTATCTGAATGCTCACTTTGCCTTCTTCTCTAGAGGATCCTTCTATGTGAACTATGAGAGATGAAATCTATTTGCGCAGCTTGACGGAGCACTCCTCAAACATCTGTTAAGTACCCTGCCAGATGGGATGCAAAAGCAGACGCGATTCTGCCAACTCCTCCCACACAAATGAGGGAAAGTGATCCCAAGGTTGACCATGCTGAACTCAAACTAATGTACATAAAGACGCCATGCAAATATAATTCGCCAGTACTAGTAAGGTCATTATTGTTAAACTGAGAAATGGCTTGCCAACCAGTTCTCCAGGAAGAGGAACACAGGTTAAAAAAAGGAAAGAGTTCCTGCATTTGTGTTACGTGTTTCGGCAATCTCTTCTGATACCGTCAACAGCGAGCAAGGGTCTCGACAGCATTTCAGTTTCTTTCAATTGTTCATTTAAACTCTTTGAGATCAAATATTGCCGATATTTTCCAATTTCCATACCGTTTAGCCAACCTGCAGGGCAGACTCATAGCTCAGTGGTAAATCTAGGGTTGCCAAACGTTCATAATTTCCTGGACATAGCTGGGATTCGGCCATCAGAAACAGTGTCTGGGTGTAAATCATGTCCGGGGAAATCTCAAGAACTTTTGTGACTGGATTTCCACTTTTTGAAATATGGCAGCCCTAGGTAAAGCACATGTTTTATATCTAAAATGTCCCAAGTCCAATCCCTGGTACCTCCAGGTAGGGCTGGGAAACACTGGAGAACTACTGCCAATCAGCATAGACAAGGCTGAGCTAAATGGCTTTCTTTATTGCACTGAATTGAAGTTCCTATCATAGTATGTAAAGAATGGTAAATAGCATGGTATCTGATTTGGATAGGAAGACAGTAGGAGGAACAATTGCCAGAGAATGCACTAGAATTTTGTAATGTAAATACAGTAATAGATACTTCTGTCTTCTATGTACGCTGCCAACTTGCTTGCCTGCAACCAAGACCTGTATACTGAACCCTACTAGTTTCTTTGGGTCACACCCCTGTCTTAATAGGGATGAGAGTGTTTTGCTTCATTCTATACAAATTAGGTGTTACTATCAGATCCCCAGCCAACACGATCCAAAGTTGGAGCAATCTTGAGTGCTTTTGGCTTGACAATGTGAGGACACTCTTTATGAATATATCAGAACCATTCATCATGTATCAGCTTTCCTCAATAAATTATTATTGCCAAGGGCTATACATCAGCGGTAAGATTTCTTCCCAGCTGGAACTCTTTTTTGAAAAGGTTTAAGTCTAGGATAATGGAGTACCAAAGGGATTACTGTCCAGGAGCTACCAAATGTTGAAAGGAGATAAAGTTTCAGCTCTGAAATTGGAACAATAAGTTAATTGTAGTGGATTTCAAACTATTGTTAACTAATTAATGCTTTGTGAAATCCTTCTGTGCAACAGAGCTTTGGTAGGAAGACAGAAGGAGAAGTCAGAAAAAGCTACAGAATAAATGTGAGAGTAGACAAATAAAAGGGAAAGACCAGCAGACCTGAACGGGCAGAAAAGTGCAGGCAACAATGCAATATGGTAACTAAGTGAAGACTGACACCACACTAATAATACCTTTAGTATGAATTGCTCAAGGCGAAATCTGCCTTGGTGGTCACAAATTGCAAGTTGGAAGGAAGAAGCTAGGATCAGTCCTAATATACAAATAATGAGTCTGCAGCTACTGTGACATGAAGAAGGATTGTGTATGGGGGAATTCTTTCTCAAAAACGGACATGATTGCAATTCAATTCCCCATGTACAATCTTACTAGTTTGGAGACACTTACCTTCACCCACTTTGATGTAAACATTCCTGGATATTTTGAGTTCAGTGAAAGATGTTACTGCCCCAAATTCCTTTTGGGCCCACTGCAGCAGATGCTTATTTCCTTGAGGGAGAGGTTTTTCCTCTATTTTTGCCGACAAGGAGAAATTTTCTTTCTCAAACTGCACAATGGAACCTGCTGATACCTGAGGAGAATAGAAACACCTTTTTAATGCGACATCCACATGATGCAGAACTCTCACCCACACAAAAAGTCATTTAAACCTGTCACACCAAAACCCATTTCTCACAGGGGTTCTTTCCGTCACATCTGCTAAACAGGCAATACCGTGAACCATTTGTACAATGCACTTTCACGTTCAACAGAACATCACAACAAAGAACATGAGACTGAATTCTCCTTGTCTTGTTGACAGTGATGAAGAACAAAAGTGTTGTTGTATGGATGAGGCTCCGTTGAAAATAAGAAAAACTATCACTGCTACTTTGACCAAAACAAAGTTGTGTAAGGGTTTGAAACATGTAAGCCAAATTTTTAGAGATTATTCATAGGCCTTCCTCCACCATATGCTTAAACCAATGAACAAAACAAAAACACACATATACTACTCAACAAAGAAGGTCCAGAGAAGATATTTTCACTCATTACTTCAAGGGACACAGGAGATCCCACTTCAGAAAGCCTTTAAGGTACTGTGAAACTGAGCAGTATCTTATGTAATGAAAACTACATGCAAAAGAAGAGGATGGAACTTGAAAAGTATCAGCTAAAGATCTAGCTCCCCATCAGAAACAATCAAGGCTCTGAGGCTGAAGAGTCTCCTGCTAAGGAACCAGACCAGGTACAGGACTCCAGAGCTTGCTGCTGGAGATCAAGAGACCACTAAGCCTCCCATATCTTAAGGGCCAGAGTCTGGACTCTCCCCCTTGGACTAAAGGAACCTTGCATAGGACCTCACTGTCTGGCAGCACACCAGCTGGGAAGGTATACAATGGAGGAGCGCCAGTCTTCAGAACAGAGGGTTGGCCCTTTAGGAATCTAAGGTTAGCAGCAATGCCTGAGAGAGGCAGTCTGAGAGCAAGAGCTTACAATGGCTTGGGCTGCCCTCAACCTTTGTTGGAGCAAGTTGTTTACTATTTGTGGTCCTGCAATTTCTAACCTCATTGGCCTTCTCCATGGGATATGGCACCAGACCAGAACATGACAATAGTATTCTAAGTACACCATAGTTTTGTATAACAGCATTATGATATCAGCAATGCTCAGCCCCTTTCCTAAAGGTTCCTAACATGGAATTCACCTTTTTCACAGCTGGGCTGACATTTTCATTGACCTATTCACCTTGAATCCAGAATCCCTTTCCCAGCCAGTCACTGTCAGCTCAGACTTCATTAGCATATATGTGAAGCTAGGAGGTATTTTCTGCCTCTGTGTGCACCACTCACAATGGCTTATATTGAATCACATTTTGATGTCCACTCGCAGAGAAATTTTTTTGATGGCATAGATATGCCAGAAAGACCCTATTAGGCTATATGTTGCTTTGCTGACAACACAAGAGGGCTTCACTGCTTCCTACCTAGTGTGTCACTTCCTTCGCATCTCTGTCGGCCAGGTGATCCTCGAATGGTATAAACTTTTAGCTCATAGTGGATTGAGCAAACAGCTGGATCAGAATACAAAGGGTTGAAAAAGTACTGGGAGGTAGTGGGCACCAGAGCAGCCCTCTAAAACTTGACTATCACTTCTGCGGATCACTTATTTCAAAAGCTAAACACAGATATGGGATTCAAAGGAGGTTATACACAGGGCACATGGGTTATCTATTTTAAAAGCTATACTGGGAGCTCATTTCCTGCATTTTCAGCAGTTTATGAGCTATTCAATCCAGCTCCATCCTATCTTGGAGGAAGAAAATATAGGAAAATAGATAAGTTGTCTTTCATGTTGTCAAATCTCACAGAGTGAAGGATTGCATCATAGGAAACTTATTTCAGTGGGAAAGTAGGACCTGTTATGTTCGAGCAGAGCACAGAACTGACAAAGGAAGACAGAGGGATGCAATTGTTTCAGAAGACACATTTTCTTAAGCACCCTGACCAACTGACTTGCCACGGCAGTTGCAAATATCTCCCGGGCAACTATGTCAACTGTGTATTGCTCCAAATAACAACATGTTGCAAACAGATTTGAAAACACTTGGCTGACTTCATCTGGAAAAACACAGATGTATTCCTAAACAATAGATACATTTCAGCAAAGCATTGTTTACACAAAACTGCAGGGTACTTTTTAACTGTAAAAAAGTTGGATGTTGCTGCAGCACAAAATAGTTCCATACAATTAAAAGCCAGGTTTTGTTTAAAGAGGTATTTCAATTTAAATTTTTAATTAACACCATCAGCCATTAAAAAATGGATATCTATCATTCACAAATGATGTCCCAGAATATGCATTTTTACGATCCATGTTTGTTTGGTTAATAATTAATAATTTTTACCCGACCTCTTTAATGCATATTATCACTCTGCTCTTTTGTCTGGCCTTATGGCTATTATTGACAAATGCCCATAAATTGAAGCAAAGGAAAGGGTTTTTTTTTAAAAAAAGCTTTGTAGCCATGCTTGTGGGTGGTGTTCATAGCTGGGGAAGGAAGAGATAAATCTCTGCTCTCTGTGTCCTGCAATCCTGATGACAAATTGGGCTCATAACTCAGCTGTAATTAAACACGCACAACGAGAAATGATGTTGCACATTACACGTATTTGTAAAGTATAGCTTGACCCTGAGCCTAAGAAAAATGTCAAGTGTGAAATACTCCCAATTCTATACTAGGCACAGAATGACCAAATATGACCAATCCTGCTTAGAGCTTTCACTGGTGAACTTATTTTTTTAAATCCAGCATTCTATTATTATGGGTCGTCTCCACTGGGGCCCTATTGTACAGCTTGTCTTGTGAAGAGATGCCTCTTATCCCCAGAGTTCATTTCACCCAGACAAATCACAGAAAGCAGCTTAAGAACCCTTCGCCTCCTGCCAGAATAGTTCCAAAAACTTTAAACTAACCTCTGTTTCAACTCTCGATGATTCCTTTCATTTGCTGCCGCTGGTCATGCGACCACCATAAAACATGTCATTAAAAAAAACAACAAAAAATCTATTCGCTGTAACGCTTCATGCATCATTTTAACAAGGGACACTACATAAGTATACCCTGTCTTCTATAAAGCAAGGGCTCCAAATGTCACTGTTTTACATTTCATTAAACCATCTTCTGGCAGTGCATCACCCGGTAGTCTCAACACGTCTTTCTTAAGCCCCGACAACGTGTGGCGTGAACATTTCTCCACTTACGGAGAGATCTCTGGAATGGAAGCCTTGGTGAACCATTCATTTTCTGTAGCTGCCATCAGGCGTGGGGGTCTGTGAAGGAATTGCAGTCCTGGGGAGTGGTGGTGGGGAGAAATCATAAGTACGCCTGAAGACCACATGGCAGGAACAGGTACGTGCAGGTCTACATCCCAACATAGAGAACTGCCAGGTATGCAACATGAGTCAACCTGCCTCATCTGCAGCTTCAAGGGGCTCCCCACTGAAACATGGTGGTGACACTTCTTCCTTTTTATAATTATTTTAGCTTTTGTTTCAATTCCACGTATTCCAGGACTTTCATTATGTAGGAAGCCTTTCCTATAACAGAAGGGGGGTGGGAAGCATGCATGGTTTTCCCTACCACGCATTTTGGCACCGGAAATACCCCAAATACAAAGTTTATGAGAATGTGTATTTGGGGAAGGGGGCTGTTGTTTAAACTTATCCATAGACAACAGTCAAGTTGGAACCTGCCAGAGAGATGGTGGCTGATCAGCCAAAATTCTACCATAATGAAGAAGTCTTTTATAGTCCGTCCTCTTGAAAAGAGTCAATGTCTAGCCTGAGTACACAGAGTCCATCCAGAACCTCAGCCCTTTGCCGTCTAGGGGATTTGCTCAAAGCTGAAGCCCTGACAGCCAACCACGCACAGTAGCTATGAACAGGCCCACGGCTTTCTAGTTTAGACCTGGCAGCTCCCAACAATTGAGTATGTCCAAATTCTGCTACAGCATCAGACGGAAAGCAAACAAATCAAGTAGTAGCCTTAAGGCATCCAGAGATCCAGGCTACATGCGGCTATAGCCTGAGGCTCCGAGGGAGTTATGCTGGCTACATAAACCACGCATTAATAATAACAGCTTGATCCTGTACAGGGCAATCCATGAGAGCAAACAAGGTTTTCACAAACTGCCATCTAACATTTGCGTTGTATTATGTTACCTGAGCCTACACCTCTTCACAGAGAGCATACAGAAGGAACCACGCGGTCCATTTGGAAAGCAAAACTGAAATATTTGTTTTGCTGCTGCCTAGAAGAGCTGCCTTTTAAAAATCAGGTGCCACAATCAGTTTGGTGTGTTCTCTGGAGTAGTGTATTCTTCAGTGCTTGAAATCCGAGGGTGCATTTTGGCAAAGTTATTTCCGAGCTAAGTGAGCAAGCTCTAGTTGATATTTTGCTAGGACTTTCTGCCTTCCATTTGGAGGATTAAGTCTCCCTTGGAAATAATAATTCTGTGGGGTGATTACTCATCTCTTGCTTCATTTACCTGCGCTGCTTCTCACCCTTGGCTGCCCATCATTGACATGGCATCCCAAGTACCTGCCCTGTCTATTTAAAGATAAGATTGGCAGAAGGAACTATTGGTTTTTGGCCTGTAAGTACAGCACTGCAACACACTGACTGAGCACATGATCCTTTCATTTCACCCTATTTAAAGGGCCACCTGCCCTTTAAGACTAAGGAGAAGAGAGAGAAAACTCCTGCATGCACAGTCAGCGTGGCTCGGTGCTGCTGCTTCCAACCTGGAATTACAGGTTAACTGATGCTAATTAATTAAAGCTTCATATGGCTTGCTTAAAAAAAAAAAATTGCACGAAGTGTTGCAGTCTGAAATCAAGTAGAGGAAGCAAGAGCAAAGGAGGACTCTGCTGTGCCTGCCAGGTCTCAAAGTTTTACTATGAGGGCTTAAGGCTACATTCAATGAGCCAAGCACGTTATTTTCTTTGGACTGCGTTCAAGAAGCTCTTCCAGAGAGGGAAAGAAAAGGCAGCCGTCACTTTTGTTTCACCACTTTTCGTCAAACGTTA